TGCACTGTGAGGGTCTAAAATTGGGCTCAGACTGTTAGATTTAAAAAAATTTATCCCTATAATAACTGGTAGAGATAAATTTTTCAAAATAACAGCTAAACCTGTGAAGATGGTTGATAAATTTTAAACTTAATCCTAACTCTTAACTGCCCTACTGTTTTCATATTCGAATTTGCGCTAGCCCCATTTGCTGAGTTCAAATCCGACGGCGACAATTCTTTTAAGTTCCCCCCCAAATTGTTTATAAAAAATTGCTCACTGACTAAGACGCCTGAAGGAATCATAGCGCCCGTGTCGATGAGCAATTTTGCATCTACAAAATTTGTACCTGTACATTCCCTGTCCATTGATATAGCACCTTCAACAAAGGAGGTTGCCTCAATCAGGTTTATGTCTGATCTTCTGGGTGCTTTGTTGGACGGGAAATGCTTGTAATGACCCTCAGAATTGTGCTATTTCGACTTGCATTTGGAACAATAAGTAGTCTGGCCGTTCATAGAGCAGCTGATGTTCTTATGCGGGCCACCACAGTATCTACAGAACAACACTTTGCAGTTCCGGATCATGTGGGCTCCACTACATTTGTAGCATGTTGGTGGCTTGTATTCCTTCTGCTGGATAGCGTTAACATTCTGTGGAGGTTGTTTATTTTGAACTCTTTGCTGGAATTGAAAAATAGAGTCCACCATCGTTGCCCATTGGAAAGGTAGGGTAATAACTATTGTTGCTGCAAGCTTGGATAATTCTGTAGAAGATAAGCCCTCGCAAATCTTCTTTAAAAGTAGGGATGTTTGGGACATCGTCCCACCAGAACTTGGACCATATGTGTCCTCGGCTAGGTCGCGCCACTGCTGCAGGAAAGTTTGCACTATTTCTGATCCCATCTGGTCCACCCCTTTTAATATCTCCATCATAGCTTGATCCGGGCTATCAGGGCTGTGTACCAATGTCATTATGAGCTGCAGGAGGTTCAGGTACGAGTAGGTGTCGGCTTGAGCATCCGTTCCAGTGTCCAGCGTTAACAATTGTTGTTTCAGACTCAGAGAACAGCTTTTAAAAACCACAGCTATTTTTCTGACTCTAAAAGTGACAAAGAACTTGTCAAACAGATTATTAAAGTGAGACTTCCAATACTTGAGAGATTTGGTAGAAAAATCTAATTCCTTCAGGCTTTCGATCGTTTTAGCCACAATCTTGGTTTCCACTTCTGTAAGTTGTTGCCATGGCATTTGAACTGTTTGCTTGTCGGCCGGTAGCTTTTGCGATTTTATTAGCTGAGAAATCGCGTTCTTGTCATCTTCTCAAATTTATTCTCGCTTCATATGTGAATGTGTTCGTCAAGGTCTTCTTTACTGAGTCTTCAATATCTGGAAGCTTCTCCACAGCGTCTTGGAACACTTCTAGTTGGGAGGACAGAGGATCCTTTGCCTCCTCTGGAAGGAAAACTTCTCTCAACCAACCAAGAAACCAATCCGGCTTACCCCCTCCCAGTGATGGTCCCGGAGAGTCGTTTTCCATCCTAGAAAAAAACACTAATAAAAGATTTAAAATGCGAAAACATACTTTTTGTCTCTGTCCCTAACATTAAACTAACTATTCCCCGTCAAATTTAATTATCGTCGGTCTGTCAGAAATAATAGAGCTTGATGAAAATGAAACTGCCATTGCTCACTTTAAATTTCGAAACTCTGTGTTAAATATAAATTGACCTTAAATTCACTAGTTAGATGTGTATAAATTCAAACGTAGCAGGTAAATGAAAGAAAGGGTTGAGTTAGCGTCTATTTTCAATGCCGCGAACTGTGCAAGCTTTCCGATATACCGTTATCATGGTGGACCAAAATACGATAGAACTATTTCGCAGAATATTATCGTGAATGAATGTTGCTTTAGGGCTTCCAATTTTTCAAGTTGTCACCATCTAAAATATGATAAAAATTCCATGCAAACACTCATACGATGAATATTCAGAGAGACGGTTTCACATTTTACTTTTTTTACTTTATACAAACATTATGAAAGAAAATACTATACGATGGATATGCAAAATAAGTAGCAGTATTTGGTAGAAGAATGATCAGGTTAATTCTCCACCTCACATCGAAAGGGTTCACAGGGAACTGTCTCTGATAGCATTTGTTAGAACCGCCATTCCCCCACCAGGGTTCTATCCTTAGCACCCTGACTTGGCGGGTCAATTCCCCTGGCACTATGCTACCCTGAGATAAGGAGTAGCGTCGCTTGGTCTATAAATAGAAACAGCTTGGCTTGATCTAAACTTCAAGCAAACAACATAATGAACCATCATTTTTGTATGTATATACAGCAGGGGTATAGTACCCCTAGATAACTATGATCAGAACGATCTTAAGATCTCTTGAACCGCTGATCGTAAAAGATCAACAAAAATCACCACATCATTACAGTAGACCTTGTTGTAAACCCCTAGTTTTATTTGGTCTACAGCAGAATTTCAAACGCAATAATTAACTCTCTTAGTTCATATTATTGTATATGAATCAAAATCAATAAAGCAATGCACTGAGTTTCTCAAATATTCAACGAGTCGGTTTTTCTTACAATATATTTATATACAAAAGATACAAAAATACAAACTTTAAATCGAACGATACTTATACAAACTAAATATTATGAATCAGATCAGTTTCATCAAATAGGGGAATTCTTCAAGGGAACCTACACATAGGGAGCTGGTCTTCAACTGCCTCTCCTCACTCGATTTTGCTCCATCCTAGGATCGCATTTAACCCTAGCTACCCCGGGGTTGTTCCGCCCCCTCCCCAACGCTTGGGTCTTCAAGATAACGGAAAATTCGGCGTCGCTTGGGTTATTTATAGAATCCAAATGCAAACTCAAATAAATCCGTTAGGATTCAAAATAGGACTCTAAAGTCCACCCGTAGGGTTAAAGATGGGGGGGGGGGGAAAGGGGGCATGATTCCCCTTGGTAGCTATGATCTCAGCGATCCAAAAAATCCTTGAATTGCTGATCGTAAAAGATCAACAAAACTCGCCCACTGTTACAATATTTATTAATCTAAGTTTACTGATTCAATATTATATATTTTAGGAGATTAATATTCTGGACTGAACTCGACTTCCATGGCAGGAGTTGTAACAGCTCCAGCCGCTGCTCCATGATGAGGGACATATTGGTGACAAGCACCAATTCCTGCTTGAGCTGATGCTCCTCCTCACTGTAGACCATTCCGCCATGGTTCTCAAATGCTTCCATTATTACCAGGCGTAATTCCCGCCAGATCACCTCAATCCGGCCCAGTACCTTCCGCCTGTTCTCCTTCACCAAGTTCACCTGTCCCCTGTCTGGCTGCAGTCCCAGTTTCCTCCACATACTGGTGAACTCGTCCTCCTCTTCACCGGAATCCTCCAGGCTAGGAACCTCTACATTAAGAGCTCTGTCATCCCCCTGCTGGGACCTCCTCTCCTTTGCCTCTCCCTCATCTCCGGAGCTCTAGGACACCTCTGCAGCTGTGAGGGCGGGAATATCTGCTTTCAATTCCTCAGGTTAGTCGTCTGAGGATGGAACAGTGACTATCTCTATGGATGCAGTCACTATCTCAGTGGAGCTATCAGAGATGATCAGTGTCTCCAACTCCAATCCGTAGTCACTGTCTCCCTCCGTTACACCGTCCGGAAGAGATCCAGCAACATTTGGACAATGCTCGATGTACTTGAAGAATCTAGACATCATCACCTATAAGAAAGCTTTAGTAATTTTTATGGTATCTTTGTTACTTAGCTATTAGCATAATTAGGAACTATCTAAGAATGGTTATATGTATATATATATAACTTTTACTAAGCTATTGGTCTTGCTTAGCGTTATAGAGTTTCCTTATTTAGCTTTGCGGAGCTATTAACTTTGCGGAGCTATTAGCTTTGCGGAACTATTAATGTTGCGGAGCTATTAGCTTTGTGGAGCTATTAACTCTGCGGAGCTATTAATTCTACGGAGCTATGTACTGGGTTTAGCTATGCAGAATTATATATCTTTGCTTGTCTAGGTTAATATAAATATCTATAACTAGCTATTCACAGTTGAATATATTTATCAGGCTATATTATGTTAATAGTCTGAGTTATGAATCGATATAAGTTTGGGAGCTGCACTTAACCTAAGGAAGAAGATTATATTTGTATATAAGTCTTTCTACTAGTAAGGTTCTTTGTGCACTGCCGTTTCTTTTTGCTTTGATTCATTATATAGAGCGCTGGCAGCATGTTATATATATATATGTCTATGTATAAATATATACATGAATTCTAAGGTATTCCTAATCTGTTCTAGATTACAACAACCTTAGATATTTCAAACTATTAATACTTATAAATAAAATAATCTAAGTTTGAAATATCAAAGGTTTGCACCATCAGGTTGCAAAGATATTGGGATCAGAAGATTTGAGTTTGTGGCAAAAACTCAATTCCTTTAATTCCAAACAAATCATTCAGATAATAAAAACAATTGTCATCAATCTTTTTCCACGCATTCGTATATAGTTAATATTTCACAATATTTTTGATTTTGTTTTTCTAAAGCAATATTTCACTGGCGCTGGATTTTCGAACATTCCTGGAAAATATGACAATGTTGTCTTCATTATCAAAAATCCTTGGAACAGGAATAAATGTTTTCAAAAGTAACAATCAGAGCATAATAAAAAGAAAATATTATGAAATATCAACTTTATACAAATGCATCGGAAAATTATCGAAGATTATTGGTTGTAACATCTGAATGATTTGTTTGGAATTAAATTGATTTTTTACGGTCCGAGTTGAATGTTGCAACTTTCTGAATTTGTACGAGTTGTTTTTTACAAATTTCTCCTAATAGGCGCAACGGATAGAAGTAAGATTAGTAGCGATCAAACGTGCTTTTTTTGCCGTAAGCCTATACCCCCTTTCATTTTTTGCGAACGCTCCCTTTGAAATTTCACAAGAAAATTAGAAACACACCTGAGCTGAAATCATCCACATTCTTTCTTCTTTCTATCCCTAAAATTTAATATTTACAACCCTATCAAAGTACTGTACTAAATTATATCGTATTTACTTATTCCTACCTTGTGGTTTAAATGCAATGAATACGGAGCCTTTGTCATTGTTTGACTTTGTTGGAATTTCGTCAATAAAAACATGATGGTCAGGATAATTTGAGATGGTATGAGAGACAAGATCATTCAAAGTCGACCTGAAAGTAGACGTGTGATTTTTATTTGTATCTTTTTTACTTTGTTAGTCTAAATTTTAACAAATTGTCTCAAAATATGTTTTGTTTTTATTTCAAAAATTCAGAAATTCAAAAAAAGGGTGCAAAAACCTTAAAATTCTTAAATTTTTTTTGGAAGAAAGAACTTACTTTTCAACCTGTCCAAACTTATCATCATACACATTAACCAGGTCAGACAATCCAAATACCTGGAAGTTTCAAATTTTTCTTTTAACCTTGTTATTATTGTTCCAACTTATTTGAAATCATTATTCCATTCCCTTCTGTTTGTATCCATGAACTATTGTTCCCAAGGAACGTCGCCAAAGCTTAGAGATGGGTGTGTTCCTTATTGTTTTAATTGTTCATTGTGTTGTTACCGTGATAGAACGATTGTTCCACAGGAACGTCACTCAGCCCTAACTGTAACGAAGAAACAGGGTAAAGATTTCTGTTAAGCCAAAAATGTAAAAAAAGAAAGAATTTAATAAGATGCCAAACACTAATTTAAAGAACAGAAATGCTGACTTACCTTTATGTCTGGGTTTCTTAAAAGTTACACCATAATGCTCTCATAAAATTTTTCAACAAATATCCTTATTACATAATCTTTAAAAATTGCTTAACTGATTACTTGCCTTAACCCTAAACAGGTGGGGGGGGGGATTGTTTGGCACCCCCCTTGTAGTTTTATTTGTCCTAGCACTCTTATTTTTGTCACTGAAATTTTGTGACTTTTAATGAGAAGTTATTTAAAGGATTTATAGTAAATTTTTTTTAATGCATAGGGTGGTGTACAGGGCGGAAAAAAGTCAGATCTGAGAAAAAAAATCTAAAATAGCCCTCAACTTTTATGTGACAAAAGGTAAAGATCTACAAACTATATTTTTGAAAAGCCCATGAAAAAGGGATGTAGAAACATGTGTCACACTTTGATATTTGTTTAAAACAAAATACATATTTTTTAATTTTTCTGACCCTTTTTTAGCACTTTTTTTTCCAACACCCATACTAATGAAGTTATCGGTCTAATTTTTTCAATGAGCTGGCCTTGAAAAATTGGACTTTAAAAATGTATTTCAACCTTATACTTAATATTCTCTAAGGCCTTTTTCTATGCATAGATTCAGACCCCCCAGCCTTTATAGGGTTAAAGGGACAGACCAGCTATGTAAGGTAGTTAAACTAAGTATGCAGTGTTGTGGACAAATTAGCTGTTTAGGAACAGGTTGAGAAAATAAAAATTAACTACTCTTATCATCGAAAATAAGTAATCTTATTTAATTATTAGTTTCTATAATCTCTCTTCAATCACAAAGATTTTCTGCAGATTTTCTGAAATTTTTATTAAAAAGACAAAATTTGGAGAATTTGAAGAATTTTGCTAACAAAACCATAGAAAATAAGAAATTTAATATATATAATGATGAAAAAGGAAACAATTAATTCTAACTTCGAGTTATTCAATAACTAAAAAATAGACCGATTCTTAAAACGAACCCACCCAAATTCACGATTTTGAACGTCAATTTTGCGCTCAATTTCAGTAATTATACATCATGGAAATGTTTTATATGTCTCAAATGAATCCTAAAGAATTGGTCGACAACACTGCATGTCATAGCCGGTCTGTCCCTTTAAAACCTAATTTTTAGTCCTTTCATCTTTTAAACTTTTAATTCTGCTAGATCAAATTGTCAAACTTTGAAATATCAAAGAGATTAAAACTATCGGGGTTTTAGCAAATTAGTGCCTTTAGTTCTTTAGTATTGAGTGTTATGGTGCTTACTCTTCCAGTTTGTTGCATATATCAAAAATCTTCTCTTCTCTCCAAGTATCTTTAAAGTTTCCTGAATCTGCTGCAGTGAGAGAAATAAACAGAACTTTTCTTTTCAATTTGCCTTTTAGTTAGAATAGTTCAATCAAGTTGTTGACAAAAAAGCAATATCCCAATTGTAAGAAATATTAATGAATTATTTTATGTTATTTTATATTTACATTTTTCTTAGTCCCTTAAAAATCAAGGCAAAATATAATGTATAATGCAAAAATTATAGATCAAAAACCAAGAAACATAAATAGAAGGCATTACTGATGATGATAAATTAAACTAAATTACCAATACAAGACTATTAGTTTAGATTGATTTTAACCATGCCTGAATTTAGTTCTTCGCAAAGCAGCTGCTGAGATTTTCCCTAGATGTTAAGAAAATTTTCTCGAAAATTGAAACTATTAAGTTAAACATTGGGATTCCATCAGAAATTTTTGCTTGTATTTGCAAACTTTTTCTCAAAGTTTTGCATTTTTAGTAAAAATGGATTAAGTAAAAAAACTAATTTATCTTTTCATTGGAAATCCTAGTTATACAATACATTGATCAGCATAAATATTAATTCAATTAAATCAACTTTTATATTTAATTTTTTGAATTTTAAACAAGCTTTTTACAAGCTTTTTAAAAGAGAGAAGCTATTAATTGGCAATAATTAAGCTGTTAATTGGCAATAATTAAGGTGTAAGTTACCTTCAAGATGAATGTTTTACCGCTCCCATAATCTCCATTGAGAACAACATGGGTTTCCTGAGATTGTATCACATTTAGCTGATCTTTGCTCCACAATAAATAAGTTGGTATGGATTCAGCCGGGATAAAGTTTTCATTAGTTAATCCAAATTGACTTCCAATCATTACTTTCTCATTCATTTTACGATTGTGTTCAAGACAGAAACTGGTTGCTGGGAACTTCTTTAATGCCAGAAATCCAAGAAATCGAATAACAAGGTTTTTGTACTCATGGCCAACAGGAAATTTCTGAGGAACACAGTTTTGAAGTCCTGTTATCCATCTGCTTAGGTTCTGCAGCTGACTAATGGCATATAGTTGAAATTTCATAAAAATCTTCTCATACTACAGATAAAAAAATAATTGTTTGTTCATGTCATTTCTGCAATTTAAATCATAATTTAAAAATCATTCATTTCTTATTTATTTTTCTTTAGTTTTCTTTCTGAACAATTTATGAAGTTTGTCATTTTCTATTTCTTTACTTCTTATAACATTCTCTCTAAGAAAAATTTTTAAGAAGTTTCAAACAATATCCTGCTATCCAGAATAAACTGCATGCAGTAGGAACAACTTTTGATCTTCTTGATCTTTTCTAAGTTCTGTTTTTCTTGAATGTCCTTGATTCTTGGAAATGAAATGGCTTTGACATATTTCCAACCCTCAGACAGTATGTCTCCATGTGCAGACTTAAGAAACTTCAAAGTAATTTCAGTTTTCTGAGAAGCTCTCTTCAGTTGAGATTGAAAGTTAGCCTCCTTTTTAGAAGTTTTAGTTTCAATCTCTAGAATAAGCTTTTCCCCTGGAAGTATAAACAGTGAATCAACTTCCCTAAACAACTGCTGCAGCCTAAATTTGTAAAGTTTGTACTCAACAACCTCAGATAAATGTCTTTTATCGAAATCATGCTTCTTAATTTCTGCGTCCTTTCCAAAAATTTGACAAAATTCATATGGTGTCTCAATCTCCTCTTCTGGTTCACCATTACATTTCTGCTTAAGAAGTCTTGTATATTGTTCCTTTTGACGCAGGTCTAATTCAAAAAGTGAACAAACTAGGAGTTCCTTTTTGTTCAGAGGTTCATACATCTTTAGTTTATCAAGATTCACTTTTAACTGGTTTTTATTTTTGTTACTGCAGTTAGTTACTCTTTCCGTCTCAGCTTGTTCCTTCAGTGGAGCAAGATAATAACTTGTATGGTAGCATTTTATAGCAAATGCTGGTTTATCCAGATTCTTCAGAACTGAAACAGTTTTTCCATAAACCAAATCTTCTCCATAGAATGCTACAATTGGGCCATCTTCCTTTTCTTGCTCTGATTTAGGTTTAGATTTAGGTTCCAATTCAGGTTTAGATTCAGTTTGATAGGGTTCATGATCTACTGGAATTGCTATGACCTCCTTGTCAAATGCGTCCAAATGTGTTGCAGTAGTTTCGTCAGCAATCAGTTCCATGAGGTTAGGAAATTTAACTCCAATGATTGAATTTTTAAAATAGGCAACAGAGACATCTTCAAGACTTAAATACAAAGGATCTATGGTAACAGTATCTTTTAGATTAGATAGAGGACTTGATATACCAAGTTTTAGCTGACATGAACATTCTGTGGCATCAAGTATTAAAGGTCTGTCTGTTGCAACAGAGCTTGATTCAGGTTTCATATTCAATTCAGCACTTATGTCTTTAAAGAATATGCTGTCATAATAAAATGTCAGCCCTACCAGAAGATTCATGATCCCATTTCTATTGTCTTCTGTGTGTGTAGGTTTACTGCTGAGAACACTGTTTATCAGGAATGAGAGCCTCTCCTTATTTTTGTCCAGTAAAAATGGTTTGCAGGAGTTGCATGCTTTGTTGAATATTGAATATTTGTTCGATTGTTCAACTGAAGTCATATTTTCATCAATTGGGAAATACAAGGATGATACAACTGTCCAATCTTGAAGAACCTCATGAAAACCCTGATGAAGTCTATGTGTAGCTGAAAGAAGAAATCTTCTCGCTGGCCTATAATACTTATTGGTAATACTTTTGGAGATGTGAAACAAGAAAATTACTTTTTTCTCAGAAAAAATCAAAACGTTTTCTATCCGAAACAAATGATGTGTTATGGCTTTCACCATTTGTTTTTTAGTCCAATCAGCATTGCCCTCAGCACCACACACTTTTAATATACCAATGAAGGCATCCATAATGTCTTCTTGAGGATCCGCTAGAATTCTGAATATAGAAATATTTGTTTTTTTTAAAGACAAACAATCACTTTTTAATGATCAGTTAATTAAATAGAGAAGCTAAAGCATGTTTTACTTACGTATGAAAGGATGGGCTTGTCACACTTTGGAAATTCATCTGAACGGATCTAAAACACAGGCATTTATATATTTACTCTGTTTTTCAAAAAATACTTGTCTTGTCAGAAACTTTGATGTGTCTGTTCTGTAGACCATTGATGTTAAAACAACAATGAATTGGGTTGGACTATGTAGTCTAAGTTTATAATATAAAAGATTTGCAACATACCATTGCTAGAATATATATATTAGAAAATAAAAGGTTTATGCTATGCCAAGAACTTAGTTATTTTAGGGTTGAGTTCCACTTAAAAAAGATACCGTTTTCCCCATATTTATATTTAATCATTGAAAAGTGATTAAACATGAACTAAACTTGAGTTTGGAATTAACTCTAGAAACTATTAAAAAGACCAGGAACACCAACCTAAAATGTTCGATGTGCTCATCAACACAGAGATATTCAGCAAATGAAGTAGATACATCTAAATCAAATAAATACAAATAGTTTTAAGTTAAAATTTGAAATTATGTTTAGATGAAGTTAGCATACCTGTTCCTACTGAATGTCTGAGGAAAACATTAAAATCAAATTTATGCATGAGGACTGCCTTTTCTTCAGTTTTCTCGGCTACATCTGAAATATTGATTAGCCATGAATGAGGGCAAGAAGCAGTTCTTCAACTGCACCTTATTCTCTTCATTTATGAAATGTCCATGAAATCTCCTACCTGAAATGCCTTTCTATGAAATGTCCTTACACCTAAATCCCTAAACAGTGGAATTACAAACCACCAGGATGGATTTCATACTTCAAAAAAAAGTCAGATCACATATTGACCTTCACAATTGAAGTAAAGATCCGGTCAAAGCAGAGAAAAATAGATCTGTCCAGCTGTAATCTGCAGTGGTTATAAGAAAAACCTTTATAAGCTTGACAAAGGAGACTCAAAATACATTGGGAACAGGATATAGTAAATTTCAAAGATAAACATTAAACCCATTAATTGTATTTTTTATGTTAACATTATGTATACTAGTTATATCATAGAGAAAGGTTGGAAAATCTTTAAAAAAAAATGGGAAAAAAATTTACTTTTGCCAATGTTCAGATTTTATGAAGCAGTATTAACAGAACAGTGAGATTTGGAAAAAGTACAAAACCTGCCCTGGAACCTCCTCTATTTGAAGATGGATTAGTTTCCAAGCTTTGCACTGCATGTTTTGAAGTTGTAGGCAAGTTTTTATAAATCTATTCTTAAACTGGGTCTTTTCTACTTAGCAGTTAAGCAAGCTTGGATGTAAGACTAACTCAAATTTTCTGACTCCTATATCTTGGTGTACACCTTTTATATCTCAAAATCTGTAAGAGTGAAGCTGTAAAACATTTGATACCACATGCTGAAGGATTTGGACTCAAAGAACTGAACAAGTTGATAATGATTAATAACTTTGAAGAAAGTTCTCAATCATTAATCTTGCATCTTCATAAGGTTTATAAGTATCAACTAACATTCACATGGAAAATCCACATTGCCTGAGCGTCATATTGAAGCTTTTGTTAAAGCTAGAAAGTTTGGGCTTGATGAATGTGCAGAGCAAGCTGGGGAAGCTATATACCACCAGTTAAAACAAACCTGGGCAAACTTCAACAGAAGGATCAATCATGTAAACTTAAGATAATGTTAATTCAACATATTATTAATAATTATCGTGTATATTTTTAAATCTGGTTGTATTTAATATATATTTGCTATAATAAGCATTAGATTGGTAATTTTTATGTAGTACATTCAAGGGTAAAAATCCGAAATTTAAAATTTCAAAATATCAATAAAAAGATCAAGGTCAGATTCTGAAAATTATTGAAATCATAATAACTAGTAATAATCTAGTTAAAAAACCCAAAATTTCCAGAGTGCAGAAGATTTTAACCTGGCGGTCGTAGCCAGGGACAGTGATGGTGGTCTACAGTGGAGTCACAAATCGAAATCTTACTACGAAATTTTTTTAATCGTATTATTTGATAATATTTAGCAAAGCATAAAATAAAATGCTTTTACTATATTCTGAAATCACATATGGATCAATTTAAGACAATTCAATTCTTTTTTTATTGTTTTCAATATATAAAGGTGTATAAAATTCAAGTGAAAACACCACAACAAAACAGGCATTCAGTATATTCTTTGTTAAGGGGCCTAATTAGAGCATGGCAAGCTAAAACTTGTTACGATCTGTTCGTTAAAGGTTTGATAATCTTATCAGAACAGACAGGCTTATTTCAAGATTGCTACCCAGCCACCCACAGATCTAGTCACCTAATCAATAACTAATACTGAAAACTTACCCTTCAGCTGTGAAAAGAAAAATTCTTGATGATCATTAGCTTTGACCTAAATAAAGATTTCTTTTAAAAATTCTGATTTGTTTTACATAGCATAGAATATGAATGTTAAAGGGAGTGAACAACTGTAGTCAAGATAGTTGAGGTAAAAGTGCAGTATTGTCGAGAACTGTTTTAGAATTCATTTGAGACCTATAACCTATTGCTGCGTAAGAGCACAAATTAGATCTTTAAAAATTCCTACAAAATGTGCACTTGCAGGCCTGCTTTTAAGAATCATTCTTTAAGAAATTATTAAATTTGAAAAAATATCTTCACAATACTGCACTCTTAGATTAAACAACCATGTCTAGCCGGTCACTCCTTTTAAAGGGAGTGACCGTCTATGTAAGGTAGTTGAACAGAGTATGCATTGTTGTGGAAAACTTCTTTCAGATTCATTTGAGACATATTAAACTTTTTAAAGATCTGTAAATCCAGAGTTTGAGCGCAAATTCTACGTTCAAAACTCCTATTTTGGGGGTGGATACGTTTTCAGAATTAGTTTTTTTAAATTATTAAATAACGACAACGAAAAATAAAGTAAGAATTATACAGTAATCTAATCAGATGGTTAGGAACATATTTCTCAATAGAAATTTGTCAAAAAATCAATGCTAAAATCGATTATTTCGTTTTCATTATTATATTGGATTTCTTATTTTCTTTGAATTTATTCGCAGATTTCTTCAATTTCATCAAATGTCGTCTTTTCAATAATAATTCTAGAAAATCTTTGAAAATCTTTGTGAATAATGAGAAAATAGAAACTAATAATTGAACAAGATTACTTATTTTCGATGATAAGATTAATTTTTATTTTCTCAACATGTTCCTTACCTGTAGTTTATTGAAGAATTTTTTTTTACATTGTATGTCTTCGTTATTTAATAATTTAAAAAAAACTAATTCTGAAAACGTATCCAACTGATCAATAGATTTAGAACCCGTAAATAAAGTACTTCTTAAAAGGTCCATTTTAGATGAGCCCAATGTTGGAAAATAAATGATTTAAACCCCTCGTTAAAATCTCTTTTCCTTGTTAATAAAATCATATCCAAATGCCCCCCCCCAATAAAAATATATAAAATAAATAGTGTTTCTTGTAATTTACCTTTTCTCCATTATGAATATATTCAGATAATGGTCCACCAACTGGCATAGATACCACATTTTTACCCTGTAATGCAATTTATTTCTATCCTTTACTAAAGCGAACATCTTCTCAATTTAGTTGGCCCAATACCAGGGCCAGCAAGGAGGGGAACCCTCCTGGACGCCATGATCAGACAGACAAGAGCTGTCCAGATTTGCTAGGAAGACTGAGCCTCCGCTATGCAGTAAGAGCCTCTGCTATATAGTAAGATCTACCTCTATGCAGTAAACAAGCCTTTGCTATACAGGATAGCTTCCTTTAAACCCTGGTTTTTACATGTAACATAGTGGTACAAGAATTTTACTTTTAGTTATATATTGCTTATTGATTGTCATGATTTGTAACTTATATAGACTCATAAAGTGGTTTATAAGATTTATGTTTTACAATAAAACATTTCTTGCGCAGTGAGAAGGTTATTTGTAAAATCATTTCTGAATTGAACTTAGTTTATTTTGTTTTAATCTTTGATTTAAGCAATACCTTGTTTGGGAAATGGTTTTAGATTCGGATTATTTGTCAATGTCAAATTTTTGATTATCTTAATCTGACAAAAATTTTTTAAAAAGTATCATTTAAATCAAAGATTATAAAATTTCAAATAAAATTACTTTAAGAAATTTTTCTCTAAATGTTTTCCTTTTTGCCTAAAAAATGCTTAAAGCTTTATAAACAACTTTAATAGTCATTGTTAGTCACCATTTATAATAATTGATTAATACATCTGATCATGAAAACTTTTAATGCCACTATTTCGAAAAAAATACAAAAATTCTTTACTATATATATATATATATGTATAAACAGGAGTTTTGTGGAAACTATTCTGCATAGTGGAGGCTCGTTTGCTGAAGAACTTAGGCTCTTCCTGCATGGTGGAGGCTCGCCGGCTCGGTCTGCTTAGAAATCTGGGAGGCTCGTGTCTGCATAGACTAATGGCGATTTTTCAAAAATAAAATTTCAAAACGATTTTTAAAATCGTTTTTATAAATTCTTTTGAAAAATCGTTTTGTTTAATACATTTGATCTGAAAAACATTTTTTCATAGTGTATTAAAAGCAAACTTATCAAAAATACCGTTGTACAATGAAAAAAATAACTAATTTATTATTGTGGAGCACTTTTAAAGTAAAAAAAATTAAATGTTTGAAAATGGGCCTTAAACAATGCCATAAAAAGTCAAGATACACCATGTTTTTATTGATACTGATGTCTGGCTGCCACTGCCAAATAATTTGATAAAAATATTCCTTGTTTACTGGTAGATTGTAGAATTCTTCCAATTTGTGTGTCCCTGAAATATTATGCTAGATAGTTCAATATTATCTACAGATTTCAGTTTGCAATTTTTAGCTTCTTCATCTCAATTCTACAGAGACTGATTGGTCACATCAGACAATTTAAATCAATAAATTGACGACAGGTGAGTTTCACAACTTTATGAATAGAAGATCCCACGGATATATCTACTTCACTAATGTTTTACCAAGGAGTATAGAAGAGAGATACAACTGACGCGGCCCGCCCTACCTAATGATTCTACATGCCTTGAAGATGGTACTCCATTTGTATAAGACATATTCAGAATAGGTTATTGTATATGTGGAATACAAATGGAGTACCATCTGCAAAGCATGGAAAATCATATGGTAGTGAAGGCCGCGTCAGTTGTATCTCCCTTCTATTTCATACTCCTTGTGTTTTACTGATGAAGGAGTTTGGGACGAAATCATTATTAATGAATTACTATTTGAGACCACTTTTCATTAGTGACTCAGAGAGACCGTTATGACTTCCATTGGATATCCCTACATTTTTATTATAGACTCCAGATTTTTTATAGTAAACCCAATATTTTTATCCAAGACCCTAAACCTTTTATGGGAGACACCAAACTTTTCATTGGAGACCCAGATTTTCATGGGAGACCCCTAGATTTTCATTGGAAATCCGAAGACCAAAGACTCCAAACTTTTCTTCGGAGATCCCAGATTTTTATTGAATACCCCTAAATTTTCATCTGAGACCTCCAGTTTTTTGCAGGAGACCCTTGGATTTTCATTGTAGATCCAATATTTTCATCGGAGACCCCAACCTTTTCTTTGGAGACCCCAAATTTTCATTGAAAATAGAAAACCCAACACCAGATTTTCATTGGAAACCCGATGATTTTTTTGTAACCCCAAAATTTTTGATGGAGAACCCAATCTTTTAAATGGGGACTCCAAACTTTTTTTTAACCCCTAAATTTTTAAAATGAAAAGTTTTGGGTCTCCGACGAGGGTTAGGTTGGATTAGTATTACAAAGAAATTGTTGAGTCTTTGCAACAAACTCTGATTTTCTAAACCATATAGCTTTGCAACTCAGTAGTTTAAGTAGAACATTTTAGTTTGTGGCTAAGACTTAATTCCTTTTATTGTAGAATGTTTATTATTACCTAGATCTGGGACTGTCCAGTTTTTGTTGTTATAATGGATTTTGAATTTCTGAACAAACATGCATTATTATTTTTTCCCCATAATGAAAAATTATAGAACATATGAGTATCAAGGTAAATCCCCGCTAAAAAAACAACCTATTGTAAACTTCATTTTTAGTTTGTAAATCGAATATTTATTTCTTCAATTTATATATGTATTACAATTTTTTTGGAACATTTAATGTAGATATTATTCCTCAGTGTTAACAATGCCTCACTAATTTGCAATACTAGGCTTTTAGGGCGCTTCGCGCCCATCTTCTATTCAAATTGTGAACATGTTCTTTTTGTTTACATTTTAAAACAAAGAAGAACAAAATTTTGCGGATTTAAAAAAAAAATTCAAGGATTTTCAAGAATTTAAATTTTTTTTACAAAATTAAAAACCTTTAAAACACATTTTTTAAAATTTTTATCATTCATAAACCTTCCCTGTGGTCATGTGATGTCCCACAAAAAATTTGGGCCCGATCGGTTCAGCCGTTTTGACGTTTATTGCATACAAACAAACATACAGACAAGCCAAATATATATACAGATGTTTGCAATGATTTCACAGTTTTGACACTTATTCATCATACTTTCCGAAGGTTATGAAAAAATTATTGTTGTTTTTACTGAAAGAACGATTTTACTTAATAAATGTTGAAAACGAATGAAGAAGATGGAAAATAAATGATCATTTTGAAAACAAACGAAACAAATATTTTTGAACAATAAAAAATGGGTAATTCTGCATTCACAAACGATGAACGAACTAAATGAAAAAAAGGTGAATACGCCCATCTCTGAATATATGGATCCTGGACAGACAATATCCACAATTGATACCATCATCTATATTTAAACTTTGCTTGTCTGTCTGGGTTTGTTTGTATCCAATACACGTCAAAACGGCTGAACCAATCAGGCCCAAATTTTGTGTGAAACCTCACTTGGCCCCTAGGAAGGTTTATGAATGATCAAAATTTCAAAAATTTGCCTCCATCAAAATTCAATTTTCATTAAATTTTTGAACATTTTGAAAATCCACGAATTTTTTTTTTTAAATCTGCAAACTTATTTTGAATTGTTTTACAATGTACACAAAGAGAACATGTTCACAATTAAAATAGGAGATATTGTGAAGCGCCCTAAAAGCATAGTTTATCAAAAAGCAATTTGTATGTGCGTAATTTCTCATTTTATTATTGCATTTTTCTGTTTGCAATTGCATATCATGGCAATTATGAAACTGTCCGTTTTCCACATAGGATGAGATTTTAATGACGATCTGTAAAAACTCCTTCAGTTATCTATTTAGGTTTGTAAGGTTTAATTCGGGCTTTAAAGTGAATATTATATTTCCAATTAGGGTTTCCATGCGCAAAACTTTTGCGCAATTTTTGCGGAACGAAACGCAAAATTTTTCTTTCTTTGCACATCAGTTTTGCACGAAAAAAAACAACAATTTGCGCAATCATTCGCAAAAGTCATTTAGCGCAAAATTGCCCTATTCTGCTTTTGTGAAACTCAAGTTTTGTGCAATTCCGCAACTAGAGTTTTGTGCAATTCCGCAATTTCGTAAAAATCAAACGGTTGGTGACAGCGTGTGTTTCTTATAATTCAATTCTGGAAAAATCTTGTTTTGGAATATTTTCCTATTGGTCACTTTTACATAATTGACCAATGACAGTTAAGAAGAGTTCAAATCTCACGGGCGCGCACCTTATTCACTTGAAATTATCTAATAGGATTAAAATATTGCCAAGTTTCACACTCTCTAATTGCTATTTTATTAATTTGGGTCCCTTGATTTAAACTTTTTGTAACTGGAAGTAACCAATTGAGTGTATAGTATAATCGTTATCATACTCGTATATGTTAATATTCTTTTTATGTATGGAATAAATCTTCAGTTGTTTAATTCTAAGCTTAGAATATCAATTTTTGACAATTTGCCTAAAAAGTTACATTTTGCGTAAAACTTGCGGTTTTGCGCAAATTGCGCAAAACTAAAATTTTGTTTCATGCGCAAATAATATTTCCGGTTTTGCGCAAAAAAATAGCGCAAAACTCATTGCGTTTCATGCGAAAAAATAGCGCAAAAGTTTGCAAAAAAAATTTTGCGCAAAAGATCTAGCCATTTTGTGGAAACCCTATTTCCGGGAAAAAAGTGAAATCACTTCAAAATTGCTACAATCGTCCTAAATCCAGTCTCTTATGCGCCTATCCCAATATCCCACTTTGTATACGAGTCAAGTTATTTTTGTTATTAGATTTCCTCGATTTTGATTTTTAAGAAACAGGATTAACTTAAACGGATTTTTCCTTTAGGACGACCTGCAAGTTTGCAACTCAGTAAATGAGTATCTTAAGGTAAATTTAGGCTTCGCCAAATATGTATGCTTTTATAAAGTATAATCAGGATCTATAGCAAAGATAGAAACAAGATGCAGTGAAAACTTAAGTAAGAATTTTTTGTTCAAATCCCGCGAATTCTTCTCTGAAATTCCATCTTTTGTGGATAATCTCCGGTAATGTTAAGGAATCAAATATTTGGAACTATTTTTTTACCTACCTCGTCATACAGCTTTTCTAATCCATGGAAAGGCCATTTAGGAGGCTCGCTTGAGTCTAGAATACCCATTTTTAATTCACATTGGCATTTAGAGGCCAATAAAATGTCTACATCATTCATCCACACTTCCGCTTTGTGTTCAGTTTTGAGATCGTCTATATCTTTGTTTTCATAAATGTGGGCCTCTGCTTTGTGTTTATATTTTATGAGGGTCTCCTCTTTGTGTTCATCTTTTATGTGTGCCTCCTCTTTGTGTTCATCTTTTATGTGGGCCTCCTCTTTGTGTTCATCTTTTATTTGGGCCTCCTCTTTATGTTCATCTTTTATGTGGGCCTCCTCTTTGTGTTCATCTTCTATGTGGACCTCCTCTTTGTGTTCATCTTTTATGTGGGCTTCCTCTTTGAGTTCATCTTTTATGTGGGTCTTCTCTTTGAGTTTGTGTTTCATGTGGGCCTCCTCTTTGAGTTTATGTTTCATAAGTGCCTCCTCTTTGAGTTCATCTTTAATGTGGGCCTCCTCTTTGTGTTCATCTTTAATGTGGGCCTCCACTTTGTGTTCATCTTTCATTCGGGCCTCCTCTTTGAGTTCATCTTTCATGTGGGTCTCCTCTTTGTTTTCACCTTTACATTTATTTTCCATGTTGTCTTCCTCTTTTTGTTTATCCTCCCTGTACCCTTCCTTTTTCTGTTCATCTTTCAAGGCCTCCTCCTCTTTAGGTTTATCCTTCATGGGGCCTTTTTTAATGTAGTATTTTTGGAAAGCCTACATGCAATGTTTCTGAACTCTGTAAATATGATAAAAATTATTAAACTGATTATTTTATTGTTTACCAAATAATAGATATCAACTTAAAGATAATGATGAAGGGCAAACAATTACTTTTTCCTCTTATCTTTTGTTAGGATAATTGCAGATTCTATTATTAACCCTATAAAGGCTGGGGGTCTGAATCTATGTAGAGCCTGGGGGGGGGAGGGGGTCTGAATCTAGGGTAAAGGTATTTGGTTGCAATGCATATTCAATTCATAGCCCGATATTTCAAGGCCTGCTCATTGAAAAAAAATAGACTGCCAACTTTAATAGTTTGGGCGATAGGTTTGAAATAAATGCCCAAAAAAGGTCTGAAAAATAGAATTTTTTATTTATTTTACAACAAATTATCGGATGTTACACATGGTTATACTTAAATTTGTCAAGGGCTTTTCAAAAATGTAGTTTTAAGATATGTATCTTTAATAAAAAAGGTTTGGGATATTTTAGTCCTTTTAACCTTTCTACCGTCCTGTACCCTAACCTATGCAGCAATATTAAAAAATATAATTTAACAATGACCATATTTTTGAATACATTATAAAAAAAAGTAAGAATGTAAAATTTTGCAGATATTTTAGTTTTTTTCGTGTGGTTGATTTAACATTTTGAACAAATCAAAATTCAAAATATTGTTTTATCTAAATTTTCAAATTTCGTAAATTCTCTTGGGGTCACGTGAATTGGCACCAACAAAAACACATGTATATGCAGTAATGTACCTCCTCCAAACTACATTTATACAGTGTATTCCAGAAGAAAAAATTATTCTTATACAGGGTTTATGGGTCGTATTCGTATTAGTGATAAAAGTCTCAATTTTGCACTGCACCCCGGACTAACCAGGGAAATAAATAATAATACCCACAAAGGATGAGACTGTAAAGACGACCTGAAACTCATGAAGATCAAAGTGAGACTTCTGCCTTGAATTTAGTCTTTAAAAAGGCATATTTAATGAGTTTGCAAAGAAAGAAACAAGTGAAGCTGCAGGGACAGTATAAATTCCGTACAGTTGTCTCTGAAGTCTCATCCTTTGTGGGTAACCCTGTCCCTATATGTCTTATAAAACAATAAGTTACTAAATTAATACTAAGAAATAAGCATATAAATATAAATAGTAAACTCTGCCAATTTTATCAGATAAACATAAGACAGTCATTTTGACTTTTCAATTTACCATGAGCAAAAGAGCTATTCATTTTAGTTCAATTAGAAAATCAGAGAAGAACATTAAAGATAGAACACTAGATGTCGTCTTTTCAAGATTTAGGGGTTTTTCATTCACAATAACCCTGAGGCAGAAGCCCAAAGGAGATACTCGCGCCCATGCCGCGTTGAATTACAAGACAAAATTAGTCATTCACACAAAAATTTGCAATATTTTTTGTTGAGTTTAATATGTCAATCTTTTAGGATACTCCCGGCTATTTTATGTCGGATAGACAGCCTATATAATTTCTAGTAATCCTAACTTTGAACACTTCGTAACTAAACTAACTGTGTGACTCTGTCACTGACGTCATTTTCTCTTAACCTGTTTTCTACCTCTCCTTACTCATCCAACGAATCCAACCCCTCCTAAAACATATAAACATGATAACATACATCTAATTACTTTCATTTTTAAAAACCTATTTTTCAATGAAATTTTTTTTTTAAAAGCGTTATTTTTAAAAAACGATCGTTTTCTAAAAGTTATTTTTAAAAAGGATTGTTTTCTTTCCCGAAAACTAAGTGATCGTTTTTGAAAACGATCGAAAAACCAAAAAAAAACAATTAACAACCCGGTAGCCACATGTTAAACTTTTTTTCAAGTTAAGATATTTTATTTTTCTTGACATGTGGCTAGGGATGGATTATTTTCACTTTTTTTATAATAAATTGTTTTTAAAAATGATCCTTCGTTAACTGTTAACGACGACCTTTTGTTAACCATTATTAACGACCTTTTTAAAGAGAAAATACATTATTTGGTCGGAAAATCCGAGGTCAGAGAACATTCCGGTTATTTTTTCCCAATTTAAGACAACATTCATTTCTTCATCTTCCTGAAAAAAATTGAAATTAATTGTCATAAAACCAGTGTGCATCTAGCTTTCAGAGAAGCAACAACTTGGCCTTTCTCGGTGCTTCTAAAAGTACTCAGAGATACAGGGTGAAAGAGAGAAACTGGCAAACTAAAGAAACTTTAGCCAGGGCCGGGTGTAAATCCCCCGGATACACCCCAGCAAACAAATGGAAAATATTATATACTGTATTAACCTGGAGAATGGAGGTTTTTTACAGTGATACTGATTTTCGCCATTCTTTCTTTCTTTTCATTCTGCAGGGGGGCCGCGCCCCCCCTCTCAGGTGCTAGGGGAGGGCGCGCGCCCGGCCGTCCCCCCTAGTTGCGCCTCTGTAGGCATCAAGGAAGCTCAGAATAGTCAGGTTCTTATACAACTCTCTCCAGTTTCTTGCGGCTGAACAAAATTCTGTGCGGAATAAAACATGGCATTACACCCTGCTTGGAAAAAAAGAAAATAATAGTGCAGAGTAGGAGGGGTTTCTCTATGCTTCTCTCAGGGGCGTACGAGGGGGGCCGCCCCCCCCGCCCCCTCTACGCGTGCCCCCCCTGAGAGGCTGAGGGGGGGCACCCATGGGGGAGGCTCTTTTAATATTACATCTGCTTGCATTTCCCTTCCTCAGGTCAGGCACAGTGGTGTACCTAAGGGGGGCAGTAGTCCTCTTGCCCCCCCCTGGGAGTTCCAAAAATACAAAATTAAAAGGAAACTACGTTTCGAAAGTAACACCTGACAATGACAAAGACTAAGGATTTGTCTAAATTCACTGTTATTACAAGGAGAGAAAAGTTTTAGCCTTCTAAAGAGAATACTTCATTACACAAGATGTACTATGACGGAGAGCAGACTTAACGATCTTGCACTTATAGCTTTACACCCTATAAGGCTGTCTGACCTCTCTACTGAAAAAAATCATTGAAATGTTTGTGTAAGCAAATCCCAGAAAATTGTAGCTGAAAAGAGTTGTTGAATATGTTGATTGAGTAAATTCTATCTAAAAATTTCAGAAAAAAATTCGTTTATTAGTAAAAATATAATTTTTATTGATGCTGTGATTATTGATTTAGTTAGCTGTGATGGAGTTAAGTGATAAATTTATTAAGTCAAAAAGTTAGTTTTTCAAGCAAAGGAATAATTTTTAGACTCTAAGGTGTATTTCTATGGTGAACAAAACAAGTCCAGGGGGGGGCAAAAAAATTAAGAAAGGTATTAATATTTTTTCAATAAAGGGGTTTTTAAGGGGGGGGGCACAATATTGCCAAGGGGGGGACCAAAAAAATTTAGGGGGGGCAAATTGTGCCCCCCCCCTAAACAAAAGCCCTCGTACGCCCCTGTAAGCTCCCCCTCACTCTTGCCAGAATCAAGGAAAATGAAAACACAGAAAGTAGAAACCTGATAGGTTGTGCACCATACACTATGAAACCGGTTTTATTCTGTCTGCTGCGAGGAAAATATTGTAGACGAGGCTGTATTCTGAAGCACTGTCCAAGATGAACTTACAAGAATCAAAAGTTCTTTTGTCGAAAATATCCACTCCTTGCCTAAACTTTCCTTTTCCATTTGTCATTATTAATGCAATAGTTTACAATGGATTCACAGAATTGTTAAACCCTGCTAAGCAGTGACTTTATTTTTTCAACCTGTAAGAATACATATGATAGAAACAGACAGCTATATTTACATTTTTTTATTGCATAGGTATTAGGTAAGAAAGATTTATTTGTAAAACATGCGTATGTATCTCTTATCATTTACAATAATTGATTTATTTTATAATCTCTATTTTACGAATTGTGAATGTTTCTGTGTACAATGTACTGTACGCTTTTACATGTACACATCACAGCTGAGCCTGTAGTTTTCCAGTTTCGAGTCTAAAATATTGTAAAAAATCTTTTTCTTTTAAAAGAGGAACTTGTTATATTGTTAAAATGAAACCCTGCCCTTAAAACTTTATTGGGTTACTTTACTGAACCAGTTTTTCTTGCTATATTTTTAATATAACGTTTATTGTTTGATAAAATATTTACCGTCCCTGTAGCTTGTTTTCCATGACATTTTTATTTTTTTTTATATATTCTAATAAAAATTCATAAGTTAAGTCATTTTTCCAACCCAAAACTTCATGCAGGGTTGAGAACTTTAAGGTAAAACAAGGTCTAAGAAATAGTTCCATATCTTCTTTATTTATAATATAAAAGATACCTGATCAAACTTTTAGAAACAAAAGTCTCTTCATCAATCTGAAGTAATCTTTGTACAAATGATGTTAGGCTTAAGGTAGGGGGGGGGGGGAGGAGGGTGACATACTCCCTGGTAAATCGGAGGGACCTCCCATAGCCCCCTCCCTGGAAAAGTTATGGGACGCCCCCCGCTGGAAAAATTTGGGGCACAACTTTAATTTGATTTTTAAGAATTGATTTAAAGATGAAAATTTTTACGTCATGGTAATTAACCCTTTATTTCAAGAGTGCCATCAATACTAATCTAATTAAAAAAGCTTTGGCTTGGTTTTCAGTTAGAAAAACAATAATATCTTTATCATTGTTTCTTAGAAAAAGGATTAAAGGGAACCCTTTGTAAATCAATAACCTTGGACGCAAAATATACCAACGTTTGGTGTTTCTTTAAAATAAAATAATGTACAGTTACACGAACAACATTTTTACAAATAATATTGAGTTAGATTGCACTTAATATGAGCTGGGGACTGTATAGCTAAAGTTACTTTTAATGATTTTAACCAGCATATGAATTATACTATATTTACTACTCACCACGGTTCGTTCTTTATCCTGATCCGTCTCATAAATATTAAACTACAAAATGTCAAGAAACAAAATGTAGAAAAAATAATAAATCTTGTTAGAACAGTATTTTTTTAAAATCCCTATCATCAGTTTTAACTGTGTCAATCCAATCAAATTTAAGATTTTCCCGCATATCAATATTATGGTAGTCATGGAATTCCTCCCAACAGGATTCCTCCCACGGCACTCCTCCCAACAGGATTCCTCCCAAACGGGATTCCTCCCACACAGGATTCCTCCCTCATAGGATTCCTCCCACACAGAATTCCTCCCACATGGGATTCCTCCCACACAGGATTCCACCCACATGGGATTCCTCCCACACAGGATTCCTCCCACACAGGATTCCTCCCACACAGGGTTCCTCCTACACAGGATTCCTCCCACATGGAATTCCTCCCACAGAGGATTCCTCCCACAGTTGTTAACTAAGGATCCACATCGGATAAGATCCCCGCATTTGATTATGTTATAGTGATCATATATGATTTAATACTTTGTCTGTCTGAACCAGCATGCACTACGAGGAGGTCAAGTATTTTAACACGCCATTTTTAATTTTTTTTAGGAAAGAATATTTTAGAAGTGGAAGCATTTTTAAAAGATAGGAAATATTGATTCAAAAGAAAATTAGTAAACTAATCTAAAATATTTTTTTTTTATATAAATATACAACTTGATTTTATAAATATACAACTTGATTTTATAAATATACAACTTGATTTTATAAATATACAACTTGATAAAAATTTATACTAAAGAATTCATGCAAAGCTGAAAATGTTAGCAACTGCTCTGAGGTAGGCCAATTTGTTTTGGCTGGCCTGATAGTTATTGACTTTGGCAGCAAGTCTCTCTGATAGGACTTTATACTTTCGCCCGGCAGGAGGATTGTTTGCAGCTAGATTGTCAGCTGCTCCAATAAAGTATTAAAATATATACACTTATCTACTCTGTATTCAGTGGGAGGAATTCTGTGTGGGAGGAATTCCGTGTGGGAGGAATCCTGTGGGAGGAATCCCATGTGGCAGGAATCCTGTGGGAGGAATCCTGTAGGTGAAATCCCGTGTGGGAGGAATCCCATGGGAGAGGAATCCCGTTTGGGAGGAATCCCATGTGGGAGGAATCCCGTGGCAGGAATCCTATGGGAGGAATCCTATAGGAGGAATCCCGTGTGGGAGGAATCCCATGGGGGAGGAATCCCGTTTGGGAGGAATCCTATGGGGGAGGAATCCCGTGTGGGAGGAATCCTGGTGGGAGGAATCTCATGGGAGGAATCCCATGGGAGGAATCCCGTGGGAGGAATTCTGCATGGGAGGAATCCAGATGGAACCCAATATTATATAAATCAATTGCAAACAAATCAACGATCATAGAGTAGATTATTGACCAATGTGACATTTTTAGAACTTTGTTAATAAAAAAAACCTATAAATACAATGAAGACGATTTTCGATTTTAATTTTGATTCACATCAAAGCTTTTAGACAGCATGGATGCAATAAACATAAAAACAAAGAAAAGCTGTCAATTTAAAAAGCTTTCCTAAACCACTTGAAAACACTTGTAAACTTTCAAAACTTAAATAAAAAGTCGTCTTCATGTATTGATATAATGCCCGACCACTGTTATGAAAGGGACAATATAACATACAAAACTAATTATATTTCCGTTCATTGGATTTCATCATTTTATAACTTTATAAAGCATATTAGAAAAGAAAAAAGTTTGCACATATTTTGCTGATAAATTTTGCAATTGTTTCTTTTCCTTGTTCCAGATTATTGCCGCCTCGTGCATACTTATTTCCTTCCTAAGATAAAGTTGAGAGCTAAGTTTCTAAAAATGCCTTTTTTGAAACCTTCTTGCATGATATTTATATACTTTACGTTAGTAGAAATAATATTGTTAAATTCAGTGAAATATTTTTAAAACTGATTTTAAATATTTCTAAAGTTGTTCTTCATTGATTTAAGTGAAAATATCTGCAGACGAATTATAAGTCACAATTCACAAGGGTACCATTTAACTATTCTGTCGTCTGATCTACTTTAAACGTGCTTATTTCTGATAATTTCTTTTTGTTATCACTGAAGCAAAAATCTGCAAATCACCTATAACCTATGACCTATAAACAGATGGTCATATGAACTTATACGGTTTCCTTGAAAGTGTTCTCGGACTCATGAAATGGATAAAAATATGTCTTGTTTCAGTTAATATATTTTGTTCTGAATCCAAACTTTTTTACAAAAAGTATATATTACCTATTTTGAGTATCATACAATCTAAACACCAATCGAAGAGATTCTTCCTGAACAAGATTATCAATACAAATGTTGCACCTCTGCCCCTTTCGTAAAAGTAAATTGAACCTTTATGAAGCATAAAGTCTGACCGCGTCAATCTTGTTCCACCGGCTAGTCCTATCCATAGAGCTAGGTACAGTACACACTGGGACTTGAACCGGAAAGGTTGACCCGGCTCGGAAATTCAAATGTACTACGGCTGCCCGTGGTTAAAGTATATTTCTTACACTGCACGACAAGAAAACTGTAAAGCAAACAAAAAGCAAAGGTAAAATTTATGGCGGGACATTACTCTGTTACGTCAAGTTTTAATTTTAAGCACAATGTTGAGTAAATAAAATTATCTGGTTAAATATCAGGCATTTTATTAGTTGCTCTACAGCATTTTATTAGTTGCTCTACAGCATTTTATTAGTTGCTCTACAGCATTTTATTAGTTGCTCGACAGCATTTTATTAGTTGCTCGACAGCAAGAGGAGTTATAAGTGGAAACATATAAAATTTCTATTTATTCAACAAATATTGACAGCATTATGGGATTCACTGTAGATGTGGATTACAAGTTTTGATGTTTTTAGATCTTAATATTAATACTTTCATTGTTTAGGACGGTTTTTTTTCTGATTTTGGGCGTTTTGTTACATCGGGCGTTTTGTTGTATTGGGTCTTTTGTTTTTGGTTTAAAGGACGTTTTGCTTTTAAACATTTTAGAAAAAATTCTCTGAAAAATACAATTTTTATACAGTGAAACCCTTAATAACGAATACATCGGAAGAATTTATCAAATGTCGTCTTGACAATTTTTCAATGAGTTTTATACTATATATTACGTAAATTTCAGTATTTGCGAAAATAAATAAATATCCATGAATATGCGGGAACAGTTTTGAGGAGTTCCTTATAATCATTTAATTAAAAAACTAAATATCTGCAACATTCCATTAGCAGAAAGAATACGACATTGATGAATTCTTTCGACGTATTCGTTATTAAGGGTTTCAATGTAATTGAAAATAAATGATAAAAGAGAAATTGTATGTTGGAAGGGTGTGCATAGCTTTCAATCTTTGTAAGAGTAAAACCGTATCACAATGATAATTGTTTTTTTATGTTGTGAACTTACAGGTCTCAGGATCAAGCATTGATCTCCATCTTCTGCAGATCTATTGATCATTAAATTAAAAAGTGTCCACATTGATTATCAAGATTTACGGATTAAGTTCATTCCTGTTCGAAATCCCGTGATGGTTATACCCTTCAGGAATAACTTAAAAATTAGTATTGTTCATGTTCATGTTTATGAAAAATGCACACAAAAGTTCCAATCTCTGACAATTTTCATTTAAATTTTAAACAAAATTCTTTAATAAAAAATGACCTAAAGTTTATAAATCCATTTCCATCCCGGTCAAAAGCTCTGAATAGATGTTTAAACCCTTCTTTCTCTTGATCTGGAATATCCTCAACGTAACGACCTAATTTTCAGGGAAAAAATACAGAAAATTATAAAATACTGACTTCATTTCTTAACAAAACTTTAAAGTGATAAAAAGTAATAATTTTTCAATAAAAAAACAGAAAAATTTTAATATTGACGTCATTTTTTGACAAAAATGTAAACAAACATAACAAAATGTATAGAAGTATAAATTTTAGATAATTTTTAAACTACATATAGTGGTCGGCAGTATTATCAATACCATTAAGACGACTTTTAATTTAAGTTTTGATTGTTAACAAGTTTTTTTCGAATAAATCTCACGGCTAAATTTTTTATTGACAGTTTCTCTTTTTTTCTTTATACTTTTGTGTATATGCTGTTGCATAGCTGATGTATATCAAAATTGATATCGAAAGTCGTCTTCATTGTATTGATATATGCGATTCGATTGTAGTTTGTTCTCTTGTATAGTAGATTTTGAAACATTTTACGATTTTAACATTTGTAATTTATTCCCAATTTATCCTCAGGGAAAATATCTATAAGACGACATTTAATTACGACTGGTAATTACCTTGAAATTGTGCTATTTTTGCGCAGAAATTCTCAAAGTTTAATTCTGGTTCAGAAAACTTGGTTTTTTAACAAAATGAAATTGGTCAATTTTAATATCTTCGCAATTAGCGCTTATCCGAATAATTTTAAAGTTAGTTAGTTTAGTTAATTCCTTTTATTATATTCAAGAAAATTAAAGATCGCAAAACTACGGACAGCTGTTGTTGCCGGATTAAGAGTTTGATTAAAAAATTCCGGTGTGGATCATCAAAAGTTTCGACTCCTTCATGGACCACTTTTATTATGGTGATAATAACAAAATATCTATGGTTCAGTATTTATAAAAAAATAGTTGATCTTGCCAATTTAATGAGAAAAAACATTTTTATTATTTAATTACAATTACTAATTTTCAAAGCAAATAAAAAAAACTTGAAATTTGATTTGCAATGTTTTAATCAACTTTAGTAAGCTACTGAGGTTTTGCGTCAAAAAAGTTTTAAAAAGTTTTGAATGATGTTGAAAAAATGAAATCCAGGGATTTCCCTGTTGCACCATTCATATCTTTCCTAAACATAACTTTTACAACATTTTTTGGCAATAAAATTTAAATTTAAATATCTCCACTTCCCTCCACCACCACTCTCCGAAAAATTGTAAAAACATTTTAGGCCTCTTTACTTTTTGGTAAAACATTTCTGTACAGAGGTAATCAGAAAACAATGCATGTAGGCTGAATTTAATTTTGAAATACTTGAGAGTAAAATAAAAATTTCGTGAAACGAGGTCACAAAGTCGTATCAGCAATTTCGCATAAGATATATCTTTTCATCGTTCATCGTTTTTTTCAATCGTTCAACAAAAATTGATTTTGTTTTTACTTAAAATGATCGTTCATTTTCCATCTTTTTAGTTCGTTTTTCACTGAATAATCGTTCAATAAAATCGTTCGTTCAGCAAAATCGCTCCTTTGTTTCATTAAATCGCTCGTTCGGTAAAATCGTTCGTTCAGTAAAATCGTTAGTTTGATCAAGTTGTTCGTTCATTAAAAAACTATTATTTTTCAAAAAGTGTGTTGCAAAATATTGTTCGCTCAGTAAAAACAAACAAATTTCAACGAAAAAATAAACTTTAAATTATTATCTTATCTCCCTAATTTCCTGAAATAAAGAACGGTCCCTTTAAAAATAATTATCAATATATCCTACTTGTAATCCTTGTATGCTTTATTCAAAATACTCTCGGATTCTCCCGTCTTCTCCTAGAACAGATGGGTGTCATATCAACTGGACTATCGTTCAAAATGTTCATCTGTACTAATGTTCCATTGGACTAATAACCGGCTGACTTTACCAAATGAAATTGAACGTTAGTCCCAAAGACCATTAGTCCAATATGATCTAGCTTCAACAGATTAAGATATGCAAGATATGTAATCATATTTGCCAAAGGAATTGAGTCTTTGTCACAAACTCAAATGTTCTAATTCCTATATATTTGCAACCTGATGGTGAAAACCTTTGATATTTCAAACTTAAAATATTTGATCTAACAGAATTTATGGTTTAAAATATCTAAGGTGTACGACATTGGGTTGCAAAGATATAGAGATTAAAAAATTAGAGCTTGTGGCATAGACTCAATTCCTTTAAGGGTCTACTTAGACGTAATTTCCAGTGACCTTAAATAACAGAAATAAATAGTGGATAAAAATTGAATATTTTCAATTGTGGTTTTTCTATAAAAGCGATATGAAATTCATAGATATCTGTGAGGAAGATAGAAGGATACAGCTGTGAATTAGATATGCCACTCTAGACCATAGATACCTTTGGTGAAAACACACTTTCAGATAGAAGGATATGGAGGGTCCCTTGAAATTACGTCTCAAGTCCCTTCATAGCACTTCATTTTTTTCCTTGACTTTTAATGAAACGTAATTTTATTTTATTTTTTTTCTAGGAAGGCCCATTTATTAAAATTGGAAATTAAAAGTAACATATTTGATTAAAAAAACTTTCCATCATTTACTTTTAAAGTTTTGTCTAACCTTGAGCCAACTAAGGTCCTCAGCACTGAGACTTGATCCCATATCTATTTTTCTAGAAGGAGAACATATTCAAATAACAAATTAACTTTTTTCATGTTAAATGTTTAGACATGGCAACTTTTAGGATGGAGAGTATCCCTGATAATAATCATTATTATATTATTATTCTTATTATCAGTATTATTATAATATCTATAATTATGTATTGTAATGCACTACAAGAATGCATGAAAAAATAACAGATATATTTGTATGATAACAGCAAACTTCCGGTACAATATCACAGTTCGCTTCCGGTACAATATCACAGTTCTCTTCCGGTACAATATCACAGTTCTCTTCCGGTACAATATCACAGTTCTCTTCCGGTACAATATCACAGGCCTCCTCACAAAGAATCAGAGTTTAGAGACGACTGAAATTTATTCAATATTTTTTTCCTCGCTGAAAATCAAATTCAGCCTCTAGTTTTTAAAGTTTCAGGTCGGTCATTTAAATGTTATCTTTTGTGGGTAAATCTGTAGATGTTTGAAAATTTTCGTTCAATTTCTTTCGCGAAAATGTTGTTCTCCGAGCAAATATGGGAAAGAAAACGAAAATATTCGTTCACATTCGTTCAAAGGAATTGATTTTTGCCACAAATTAATTTTTTTTTAATCCCTATATCTTTGCAACCCAATAGTTTAAACCTTCGATATTTTAAACTCAAAGTATTTTATTTAACAGAATTTATATTTAAAAGCAAAAAGGTCTACGACATCTGGTTGTTAAGATATATGGATGGAAAACCAGAGTTTGTGTCAAAAACTCAGTTCCCTTTGCTAATATTTAAAACAACCTAAATCGAAACAAAAAACTATAGTGTTAATGTTCATTATTTAAACCAATTAATTTACTCTGGACAATAATATATTACAATAGTATTGATAATGCGTTTGAAAGGAATATTGTATATGCATAATTGAACAACTCTACTTCAAAGTAGAGAGTCCAATTTTCCGCCAGAATTTTGTCGCCGGAAATTATAATTACCGGAAAAGAAAAACGAAATTCCAGTAATTTTTCGTTCTGGAAATTTTCTGGTTTCCGGAATTTCTGGCTTACGACGGAAATTTTCTGGAATTTTTGGCTTTCGATGGAAATTAAAATTAAGATATACTTTTTTAATTCATTATTCAGCAGAATTCTGTATATAAAGTCAGAGATAAGTTTAATATCAAATTTTTTCAAATTTTTTTTTTGAAAAACAAAACAATCATTATGTCCTGCCTCATAGTATAAATACTATTAATAACGTAAAAAGAAATTTCACCAGAAAGGGGGTTTTTGGCACCCTTTTTGGCCGGAAAAAATCCGGTAGATACTCCACTTCAAGGTGGATAATGTTTTTTTTCAGAGGTTCGATGAATAAAAATAGGGTTTACATTTGGTTGATCATATATTCTTTTAAATTTTCACACCATAAAATCAGTTTTTACAAAAAAAAACTTTTTGATAACCTTGCAATGACAAAAAAATGACACTATGCAGGGCAGGGGGGAAGGGGGGATTAAAGGGAGAAATATACACCCAAGTAAGTTCAATGTGTCCGCACAGTTTTAATGAATACTGGATATTGTTTGCATTGCTCGTAAATGTACAAATAGTGGCAGTGCAAAGTAATTTCCTCAATGTATTCCCAACCCTCCTTCTCTTCAAATTGGTAAGACAATTATGGAGTCCGCGAACACTATCAAACGCTTTATAAAACTTGGATTTCTTCCATTGAAGGAAACTAAAGATGGACAACCTAAAGTAAATCTGGTAAATACTAGGTTTGTAGTTTTCAATCTGTTCCGAATCCTGCCGTATACTATATACCTTTTCTTTAAAATAAATGATTTTCTGAACAACGACCTCAACATGAAATCTGTGATAGCATTCTCTTTTAACGTCATCAGTTACATTGGCGGATCCGGACTGGCCATCGTACTTGCTGTAACTGGACAGCGCTTAGGTCCTAACTGTATGTTGGGTAAAAGTACACCATGCTGCTGGAGGAATCTGTCTCTGAATGGTCTCATCATAGCTATCTACATTTTTGGAAATATACTTACAGAAGTTCCGCTTCTAATAGAGCAGAAAACACTGGCAGAAATATTCTCTCTTACATTTGCACTCATTCTCAACTATATGTATGTGATTGTTGACTATGGAGTTCTTGGAATTGTTTCATTTCTTTGGGTTAAAGACTTAAAAACAAAGATAAATTTCAAATTCTCTGAAAGCAAGACAAGCATCAATGATTTTGAGGAAATTTTGCTGGACTTTGAAAAGCTAAGACATGCAATGAAACTTCTGGCAACGTTCATGTTTCCATTTGCACAGTTATTGGCGATATCCTCCTCATATCTTGGATTTGTTGCAGGTTATAACATTAAACATTAGCAAGATGTGTAATATATGCTAAGTGGGTAGATAAAGGTGTGTGTACATATGACGGTAACATATTACTTTGACCAAAACAAATCTAAAAATGGGCATCATTTTGAGATCCATTTTTAAATACTCAAGGTGTTTTATATTTAAAATGTTCAGTTGTTTCAACTATTTCAAAATAGTGTACTCTATAATAGTGTACTCTATAATAGTGTACTCTATAGTGTACTCTATAGTATACTCTATAGTGTACTCTATAGTGTACTCTATAGTGTACTCTATAGTGTACTCTATAGTGTACTCTATAGTGTACTCTATAGTGTATTCTTTAAGTTTGCTTTTTATACATTATGAGAAAATTTCACTTTGACCAATGATATCAACCAAAACAAATTATTTAAATGATTTGAAAAATCGTTTTTATAAATCGTTTTGTTACGCTGGTTTGCTTGATGCTTGATTCAGAGTGAAGATTTTGCATAACTTAAAGAAAATAAAACAGAACGAACCTTAAATCGATGCCCATGTTACACCATGAGAATAATATTGCAATTAGAGTTAACTTTTCATCAAAAAAAACAAATTATTTTTTTTTGTTTAGAAGATATATATAGCTTTGGCAGTCTTTTCCCTGCATTTGGAATCTTGATTAATTTGATGACTATTGTTAATGTTCTGGAAGATCTTTATAGTCTAATGGATTCAGCAGCAGATATGGCAGAGGAGCAAGGTCTTCAACAAGCAACTCTTCGAGATATGAAAAGGTAGGAAACCTTAGGCCACATTCTCTATATCTGAGAAAGGCAGGGACAGTGATTGATCTAACAAATTTGTAGTGGCCTGCCCTATTCAACTTGAATAAATTCAACTCCAAGATTGGCTTTATTTTCAAATTTCAGTACTTAGAAAATTGATTCTAAGTTTGAAGTACACACAATTTAGATAATTCAGAAGAATAAAATAAGGCTGGAGTTGGGTTTCCACAAAAACAGTAGATTCTCTTGCGGTGCAACAATGTTTGCGTTTTTGCACAAAATGATTTCTTTTGCAACAAATTGTGCATCATTTGCGCATCAATATGTGACCAGTTCTGAAAGAAATTGCACATTCATTTGCGGGAAATGGTACATTCATCCGAAATAAGTAATTTTCTTGCGCATCAATGCACAATTATGCGAAATTTTGTGCAATTTTTACTTGAAACAAAAGAAAACCTTTGTGTTATTATTGCATGCTTTTCTTGCATAAAATAACGATAAGAAACTCTAACTGGAGTCTTTATGAATTGGGACTAAATTGTAATAGAGTTTAATCTGATTTGTTTAACCTAAAAATCTCCCCAAACCTTCAAAGAACCTTACCCTTGCCTCTATATGCTCTAGTTTTCTTAACCGGCCCTATCTCTTTTTAACCTCACTGTTCAGTCCAGTTAATTTCAAGAACCAGGCCACACTCCTCTGCCGCTTTAGTAACTGTAAATTGGCGGTACTGTTCAAAGTAGTACTGGAAAGGTTGGCCCAGCTCGGATTTTCAAATGTACACCGGCGGAACATAAGGCCGACAACTAACCAGCTAGCTAGAGCGAGCTGTACGAATACAGCTGTACAGTGCACATACAGATTATACCATGCAAAATGGGACATTACACCAAATGAACCAGACCCTTCCAGAGAATTTCTAGTGACCTAACATCCTTAGTATTTAAATTAGACTTTAAATTTTGTAAGATCAAACAATCAAAGTTTGTTTTTTATGTTTAGGTTTGCTATTGTGTCTGCAAAGCTACGGAGGGTTGGACCCTTTACTGGCTTTGGTTTCTTTACTATACAACGGGACACACTTACTGCTATGCTATCAATTACTATCACATACATTATCATCCTTTTCCAATCCATCAAATAAACAGATAAAAAGGGGAATTTCTTTTTGGAGCATTTAAAATTTGTGTTAAACAATTAGAAATTTTTAGTAAAAAAAGATGATATTTTCTGAACTTTTAATTCAAGAAAAAAGGGTACCATTGTGTATCGATCCTGTATAACGCTTTACTTACTTGAATTCATGTTGCAACTTGCAGTCGTCCTTTAACATTAGTCTACTTTCACCTTTCTGATAAAAAAATTTACAATTTTTATTCATAGCAGAGATTCTGCAAAAAGTTCCAAAACTGTATTCTATTTATCTTAAGCTATTTGTACTCTTAATTCAGAATAAATATCAGTGCCTAAAAATTCTTTGTATTTTTTGTTTCAAATATATTGAAATAAGGAAAATGTTAAAATTTTTCCCCAAAATTTAGAAGAGAAGATTCTGTTTTATCGAAAAACCTTTAATTTTTTAGCAAATTTTCTATTATTATTTCATGCATTGTATGTATGTATGCTCCTTTAGCAAACAGAATTATGATAACTTGTAATACTTTTCATTTTTATAATATTCAATATTTATGTAAACATAGAGTTTTGAAAGTACGTGTATATGCTAACGCTGAAAACCAAAAATAAATTACATGTTAATGTGGTTTTTTTAAAATCACTTTTCAATTTAATTAATAATTTGTATCTAAATATTATTTCTTATAAAGGGCTTTACTTGTTAAAACCAAAAAATCATAAACGCCACTATTCCCTGCAAAAAATAATATTAAAAACATTTATTTTGTTTTACTTTTAATTCCTTTTATTATGTTGTATTTTGTGTTTGAAAATAAATGCTGTATAGAACTAAACATACATTGCTAATTGTGTTTCCTTAAGAGTGTATTTATGAGCAAATATAGTTATTCCTGTTTACATATGTTCTTGAAGTGTATTTAGTTATGCACACTTGAAAGAATTTTTTAAAATTAGAATTTTTTGTAAAAAAAGTCAAATTTGAGTAAAAACAGAAACGTTTTAGCATATTTCAGGATCTCACTGTTCAATGTTTCATGTCTGTCAGCATGTCTGTTTGTGTCTTTCCGTTAGACCTAAAAACGACTGAACTGATTAGGCCCAAATTTGGTGTGGCACATTATCTAAATTTAAAAAAATGGAAAAATTTTGAGTATCCAACAATAAAATCAGAAAAATCCGCTAAAATTATATTGTTACGTGCAATGTAAAAAATGATTTTATTCTCCCATAGAAAAATTTTAATTACAATAAGTTCTCCAATTTTCAAATGCATGCACATTGCATACAGTTTAGTATAAAATTTAAGGGTCCACAAACTTGCCGTACACGATGTTTAAACAGAAAACAAACTATATGTCAAAGAAAATCATTAATGCAGCTAAAAACAAATTTCATTATAAAAAAAAAGAGATCCAAGAATTTAATCTTGAAAAATCAAAGATGTAAGGTCTAAATCAGAAATCAGGAAAATTATGCCGAATAAAATTTCCATTTTTAAGTTTTGCATTGAAAAAAAAAAAATTTCTTGGTTTTTGCAATGCAATGCGAATCCTGATTCTCAAATATGAAGATTTTATTTTGCATAAATGATCAATGCGCAATGCACAATATGCGTTTAACAATGGTAAAAAAGTTTTTTTTTTCTCTGAAGCGGGAATTTTTGAATAAAGAGAGTTAGTTAAACTATACACGGTACACCCCATTAACAAAACTATCAAAAATAATTTGTTTAATTAATTTAAAAAAAAAACATTTTAAAATTTCTAAAACTATCAAAAAAATAAGTTTTATTCTAATTTTGAAAAATTAATCCCTTCTAGATAAAAATATCAATTAATTATAGACAATCTCAATAATATCTTTAAACAATTCTATTGGAGAGTCGAGTTGAAATAAGAATCTGGAAATGAAATTGGAAAAGGGTTGGTCAATTTACCCATTTCTCTAACAATCCCCGACCTCCGCCCCTTTTTTAAATGTGCATTGTGAACAAACAATAACATAATTTACAGAGATATTCTTAAATTTAATCTTTAAACTACTATAATTCTTTAATTAAAGTAAGGTTTTTGAATTCATAAGAAAACTAAATACAAAAATTCTTTTCTAAATGTTAAATAGAAAGGAAATAGCGTTTATTTATTTTAGGATAAAAACCTTAAAGGGACTGTAAGCGTAATTTCAAGTGACCCCACGCAAACAGCAAATGCCCAATATACATCGTTACCCTTAAAACCTTTGCTGATGTATAATGTTAAGGATATTTTTGTTTTAAAAGTGTTCAATTCTGATAATCATTTACATTTTCCTGCAGTAGAAATGCGCAAGTTACTTTTGTTGAGACACCACAATTAAAAATAATCAGATTTAAAAATTATTGATAAAAATTAATGAGACAAAATTTAGTTTCCAATGCAAAAAAGTATATTTTTAATTTGTCCCTGATCTCATTTTTTCATAAATTACTATTCCTGAAAAGTAAACAAATTTCACGGCATTGGAAGTGTTAGGGCACAAAAAGAGGGAGGGGAGGGAGGGGGAGGGGGGACTTATTAAAATTACACTTATATCGAATGTTCTCTAGCATTGTAAATAGATTAAACAAATTCAGATTCCGTCTTATATTCCTGTAACTTTTTTTCTCCAGGTAAAAATGAGAACAGCAGAGTGAACAAGCAGCTCCATGTCCTTCCTTTATACCTCCCTAGTGAATATTGTACACAGAACGGAGGATTGCAGACAGTGGAGGTAAATAATCTCTATTACAACTTTGTTTTTAACCAAGCTTTCAGTAGGTTAATGCATTAGGTTAACCTTAACATGATTTACTACATTTAACAATGACTTTTTAATGACATACACAAGTTATAAACAGAGCATAATTTCTTCTTAAATTTACAGCTTATAGAGACCTTTCATTTAAAGAGGGACATACCCTATTTACAATAGTACCCTTTAAACCTTTAGAACAAGGATGACGAACTTTTCATCTTTAATCTGCAGAAACGTTTTAATTATTTAACACTTTGTTTGCAAGTTGTTTTATATTTATGAAATATTGATATTTATACTTTCTAGAGTTGACAGAATATAAATATTCTTATTCAAATTATTAAAATTCTCTTGGACAAAGAATATTCTAGAGTTTCCTGAAACAACGTGACGTCATTCGCGTTGAGTTATAATACTGCGGACATTTGAATTATTTGGCTTTTCCATCAACATTTAAGAGAAATAAACAAAGACTTTACAGTCCTTGATTATCAGTCAAAGGTTTAAGGTTTACCCTGAATTGAGAATGTCGATCTAAAATCTACGCAATTTTAATTCTGATCATACATGTTGTTTGACTCAAAGTATTTTTTCTGATGAAATCTCCATTGAGGAAGAAATTCACAATTCACATTCCTGGAGTCGCCTCAAATAAAGAAACTGAACTTGAATATCTATTTCATGCTAGATCATATTATCAGACAAAGCTTTTATGGATGTAAATCTTTGCATGGAGGGTCACTCGAAGTTACGCAAACTGTCTCTTTAAGAATTCACATATTTTCCCCATAATCACTTATTTTCCTTAAAATTGAAACTTCTCAGGGGTCTAAACCCAATATATGTATTTTCCTTAGAGTCGCAAATTATGAATTATTGTATTTAGAATTACAGGAGGAGGAAATAAAATGAAATAAAATTTGGACAAAAAATCAACCCTGTTGGTTTTTGTTTTAACATTTTTTTAAAGAACAAATTAAAAATTGATCCAGAACTTGTTTGTCAACATTTGAAAAAAGATTCCCACACCTATAGCAAGGAGTGCCTATTTTCTAGATTATTTTTTTTCACATTTGGCGTCTTGATCTCTTTTCGTTTATTGATAAGTTTATTGTGTTAGGCAGACTGGCAAGGATAGTATTTTCCCTTCCTCACGGAAGTATGCTGTTAGAACTTGCAAAGCACGAGGTTCATGCTACCACCGCCTTGTCAAATCCAAACAGACTTCTCCCAACCAGAGTTGGATTAGTTTTTATCAATGCAGCAACCTTATCCTCCCTCAACATGCTAAGGAAGTTTCTCACATTAAACAACTCGAGAGCTCAAGACACGGAATTACGAAGGCTGGAAGAGAGGCGTTTTTGTCCCGATTCCAAGCCAACTGAAATCGTTGCAGGCCCTCGGGTTCAAATTCCCTGATGGGTTTAAGCTGAAGAAGTCGAAAAAAGAAGAAACCAATGTTTCCAAAAGCTTTAATCCTCTGAAGAGTTCCCTGATTTCACTCCAGGAAGAGAAATGCAAGGTAATTTACCCTTATTAGAAATAATCTTCTACAGGGTGTCCCAATAAACCTAGAAATTTAGAGACGACTCAAAGTAGTCTTTGATTTTTGATATTCAAATTTCAAAGAAATTTTAAAAAAGAGGCTGTATGTCTGACAAGCTTTTCATAAAGTCGTCTACCTTCCTTGTATCTTAAAAATTGACGAAAATATAAGAGAATTTTGATTTATTAAATAAATTTAATTTGTACAAATTTTGAAAAAAAATGGTAGACCACATTTTGAAAATCTTAAGACCAGGCGTTTTGCAAAATTAGATATTAAGCTGGAATAGTGCAATAGTTGTGCTTAAGTGAAAATGCCGCATGGATCGAAGATGATCTAAAAGTCGTTACTGAAATCCCATGTTTATTTGAATTCATGATGCACAGCTCAAATGTTCATTTTTGTTTAATATGCTAATAGTTCTGATTAAAAAGAAATATCTTTTTATCTGACATGATATTAATTCGTTTTTGAACCTTAGAATGGCTAACTAGGAGAATGTTAAGTAGATTCTTTTGTTGAATAGGATTTTACGCTAAACATTTTATTCTTATTTTGAATCAAATAATATCAAAGGTAATTATTAAAAAGTATTTAAAGAGACTGTAAACATTATTTCAAGTAGCTCTTTAATAATTAGAAATCCATGATTTTGTTTTTATAATCTGATCATATTCATTTGTGGTTTCGCCACAAAAGTGACTTTTGCATTTCCATGCTTCAGAAACAATGGAGAAATAGTCAGAATCAAACACTTTTTAAATTAGAAAAACAACATATGAGAATTACTGTTTCAAGGGTTTTAAATTAGAAAAACAACATATGAGAATTACTGTTTCAAGGGTATTTGTTGTGAATTAGGTATTTTACTTTCTTTAAAGAAAAAGTTATCGAAATTATATCTACTGTCCATTATATCACATGTATATTATGTTTGGCCTAATTTTTGAAGTGTAAGATTTGTTGCTTTAAAGATTCTCTACAGAAATATGAGAAGACATACATACAACAATATTCAAACCATAAAATGAATGCTTAAAAATTCTAAATAATTCTAAAATTTATTCAGGTTGGTTGCGATCTCTAAGTTGGACTGCTGCTTCTTTCAGTGATGCTCATTGCTCAGTGCTGCTTCATCTAGGACTGCTGCTACCAACAGTGCTGCTTCAGCTAGGACTGCTGCTACCTACATTGCTACTCAATCTAGGACTGCTGCTACCTACAGTGCTACTCAATCTAGGACTGCTGCTTTCTCCAAGTAAGCAATATTTTATCCTCAATTTCAACAATTACCAGTTTTGTTGTGTGAAAATTTATAAACAAACTAGCTTGGGAACCCAGCGCTGCCGAGGTTACTAAAATTTACTTCCGCCGGACCCTATTACCGAACATGAACGATTTTTCCTATTTTTAACTAAAATTTGCTATTAAAATCTAAACCCAAGTTAAGAACATTTCCGTGGGTTTCTTGAGTTCCCAATAAAGATTTGAGCAAATCGGTCCTTGGTTCCTGAGTTATGATTCGGACAAACAGACAGACAAACAGATTACAACTTTATATATATAGACAATGAAAATCAAACATTTTACAGTTGCAATATACATCCATGTTTTAGAGATGGTGACATCACTGTATCTGAGTTTGTGTTCTGAAGTGGAGAGGCTGTGTTCTGAAGAGGAGAGGCTGTGTTCTGAAGAGGAGAGGCTGTGTTCTGAAGAGGAGAGGCTGTGTTCTGAAGAGGAGAGGCTGTGTTCTGAAGAGGAGAGGCTGTGTTCTGAAGAGGAGAGGCTGTGTTCTGAAGAGGAGAGGCTGTGTTCTGAAGAGGAGAGGCTGTGTTCTGAAGAGGAGAGGCTGTGTTCNGGGAGAGGCTGGTCTTCTGAAGAGGAGAGGCTGGTCTTCTGAAGTGGAGAGGCTGTCTTCTGAAGTGGAGAGGCTGTCTTCTGAAGTGAAGGTATCAGTCCTGGAGATTATCATTTTCCTCAAATAGTAATGTTGTTAATTGCTTACAAGTAACTTTCAATAAAAGAGAAGTTATTCTTTTTTTTAAAGAATATTTCAAAGTCCCAAAACCTTGTTCTTAGTAAATTTCTAAAGTAGAAAAAGTTGAAAATATAAAGAACATTTTAATAAAGCAACTAATGCAAAGAATTTAATTTGCAAAAAAAGTGTCTTTTTAATAAAACCCTCAGACACTGGATATATAATAGCCCGGTAGTTGGTACTATTTGTTTTGAGAAGCATTAGACTGTGGAGGTTATGCAGTTTTATATGTCCAGAGCCTGACATTTAAAAGGGTATCGTTGAGCTAAACTCCAGGAGTCTCCTGTTTTGTTTTTGAAGAAACTAAATTTAATAATATTTCATAACAAAATTTTGATATCTGCAAAACTGCCTAACCACATTTCGTGAAATCCAGGTATTAAGTTTTGGGCTCAGATGTTCAGTTATGTTGGAAATTTTTTGATCAGATTTGGAATATTCACTTTTCCAAATAGATTATCAAGTAAAATAGGTGGGAACAGTGAAATGGACCAATTATACTAATACACGACGTCACGAGGAAAATGAAATTTTCTCACATTAGTTGACATGTTTTCTAAGATTAAATAAAAAAGGGTTAAAACCGAAATGAAAGGAAAAACAATTTATTTTAAAATTATCACTATTATCAATAATTTTGTCGGACACAAAAACAGAGTTGACACTTGTGATTTGAATACAGCTGTACTGAGTACAAATTCTACGTTGCCATAAATTTTGTACTTGACAATCTATTTTTCACTTTTTTAACTTTCCGTCTTAATGGTAGAGTAATGAGTGCAGAAAACCTGTCTTAAGGTAATACCATTGATATACAAGAATATAGATCGCTAATGCAGACTGTAAAGCTGAAAATTGAACAACCCGAACAACCCCTTGTACATCATGAACTCGTCCTTTAAAAAGGTCATTGAATACGTTTTTCTTCTCGGGGTCAATCTGTAGAGTATTTTTAACTAATTTTTAATAAGTTTAATAAAAACTAGGCTTCGTTAAACGATCATTTTTTGTTTAGTTTTTCATTCGTTTTCAAAAACGATCGTTTCGTTTTCGGAAAAAATAAAAATACTCGTTTCGAAAGAGCATTTTTATAAAAACGATTTGTGACCGTTTTTTATACGATTGTTTTTTTAAAAAAAGATCGCTTTTGAGAAAACGATTGTTTTTGAAAAAAATTGATGTCCTGTATGAAGTTAAACAGTTGTATGGGGTGCCAAAACTTCTTGATATTTTCTTAAAAACTACTCAATGATAAGTACAGATGTGCTTCAGGTTGGTTTCCTCTCTTTGTTAACGATCGTTAACGAAGGGTCTTCGTTAACGATCGTATAACGAAGGGTCGTCGTTAACGATAGTTATAACGAAGGGTAATCGTTAACGATCGTTAACGATACGACGAGTTTTGAAAAACGATCGTTAATAACAATGATCATTTTTAAAAACGATCGTTTCGTTTTTGATTTTATGTTGTCTTTTTCATAACGAAACGATCGTTTAAAAAAATAATGAAAACCTTAACGATCCCATACATACAACTTGGATCGTAAAAAGGTCAATTTAATATAAAAAAAATCATTTAGATATTAAAACCTATAGTCATCGATTTTTTTTCGACGCATTCTTATACAACTAATATTTCATAATATTTTTTATTAGTATTTATAAAGAATGCACTTGAAACGACGATTTTTTCCGCTAGGTGTCTCTGTCACGCGGAATAATTAAGAGCATTGAGTGTAGAGACATCCTGGCGGACAAAATCATTGGCATTTAAGTGTAGAGTGTGTGTAGAGCGATTCTCCATTTAAAGAGGGGCATGCTTGATTCAAATCTTCACCCTTGAAACCTTCATCTGATCAACAATGTGGAAATCACTTTTGTGAAGAAACCACAAATAGAAATATACAGTTTTAAAAAACAAAATTCATACTTGATCAGACAAAGCAATTTAAGGCAGTGTTGGGAATCGGACATGACACTCATTAATGAAAGATCACTTTTGTGTTTAAAACCTTACTAAATTTAAAAAAGAAACGTTATAAAATGTATCTACCCCTATTCACAGGTGGCTTCTGGGGGGAGAAATTTTGTCTGTAAATATAATTCACTTATTCCCCCCTCCTGGAAAATATAATACGGCCCCCTGCCCCCATTTGTTAAATTCGATCCATTATCATATTCTCAATAATATATGATGAAGCTAAGTAATGTAACAAACAGACAGCCAGACAAAAATCAACATAAATATATAATCTGCTTACACTCCCATACATATATATGCTCACGTTTATAATGGGAAAATAATGATCCATGAAACACACTTTCAGCAATAGATATATAGTGATAGGTAGACAGATATATAGTGATATGTAGATAGATGTATAGGTATATAGATATATAGTGAAAGGTAGCTAGATAGATATATAGTAATAGGTAGATAGATAGATATATAGTGATAGGTAGCAATATAGATATTTAGTGATAGGTATCTAGATAGTTATATAGTGATAGGTAGCTAGATAGGTGTAAAAGGATAGGTAGATTGATAGATATATAGTGATAGGTAGCTAGCTAGATATATAGTGATGGGTAGCTAGTTAGATATAAATTTATAGGTAGCTAGATAAATATGTAGTGATAGATAGCTGGAAAGATATATATTGATAGATAGATAGATAGTGAGAGGTAACTAGATATATAGTGATGGGAAGCTAGTAAGATATAAAGTGATAGGTAGATAGATAGATATAAAGTGATAGGTATCTAGATTGATATATTGTGAAAGGTAGTTAGATAGATACAAGTGATAGCTAGGTAGGTGTATAGTGATAGGTAGCTAGATTGACAGTTAGATAGTTACACAGTGATAAGTAGCTAGATAGATTTAAGTGATGGCTATTTGGCCGAATAACTAGCCAGAGCGATAAGAAGCTAGATAGATAGAGCAAAGGGGTGATTAGAGATAAAATAAATGCATGAAAACACGAAAAGATGAAAAGTTGATGATAAAATATCCATATATATTGATTGATATAATCCATGTGATCGATAAAAATGATAAATAGTACAGGAAGTTAACAAATCAGGGTAGTCTGAAATGTCTAATTGAGATTTAATCTGTTTAAAAGCAATTTAATGCATTAAACATACCGGATAAAACATAAATTTCAATACGTGATTAGGGCTTAAAAAATAAAAAAATAAGAAAACAAATCTACACCGATTGAATTTCATTGAATTAATTATTTATTCGTTTAATTTATATAATTTTTGCTCCAAGGACTGATGGCGCAGATATGTAAAAATCAATTTCCCAATTTTCCTAAAATATTTTAATTTAATTTTAATTCGTGAAATTGTTCAGTTGACCGGCATAGGCCGACAGCGCTAAATACTCAGGTCAATCAGGAGTAAATCAAACTTAAAGGGACTGTAAGCGTAATTTCATGCGACACTTCATGCTAAAAAAGGGTGATGCCTGATTTACAAGACTACTTTTTGAAACCTTAATCTGGTACAAAATGTGGAAGATAACGTCGTTTTTCTGACTGTACTTCTAATAATTGGTCCATTGGTTTTTGTAAGTAGAGAAACTACATAGTTTCAAAAACAAACAAAAACATGGATATCTCTAATTTATACAATTAATCAGACAAAGCTAAACCTTTGCAAATCGGACATTGCCATCTTAGCATGCAGTGTCCCTTAAAATTACGCTTTCAGTCCCTTTAAATTGAAATTAAACGTCAACAGTCCCTTTAAAGGGGCTGTTCACGTAATTTCAAGTTACCCTCCATGTAAAAAGAGTGGCATGCACAATTTACAATGCTACCCTTTATACTCCTATGGTGTTCGATTAGGGTTTAAAATCAGAATTCCGTTGGGCGGAATTGTGCGGAATTGCGTGGAATTTACTACCATTTTACATGGCAGTTGGAACTGATGTACGTAGTGAGAAGAACAGTTTACAATTTGTGGTAGTATCTAAATTCTATCTTTGAAATCAAAAAAAGTTCTACCGTTTTTACAAAGAAAAAACCCGATATATCGAATTTTTGGAAAATCAAAAGTTACCACTATTTTACATGGAAGTTGGAGTTGATGTACGTAGTGAGAAGAACAGTTAAAATTTGTGGAAGTATCTAGATTCTATCTTTAAAATAAAAAGTTACTACCGTTTTTACAAAGAAAAAAATCGATATCTTGAATTTTTTGAAAATCGAAAGTTACTACCATTTACCATGGCTGTTGCAACTGATGCACGTAGTGAGAAGAACAGTTTAAAATTCCGGGTAGCATCTAAATTCTATTAATGAAATCAAAAAAAGTTACTACCGTTTTTACAAAGAAAAAAATCCCCTTTACCGAATTTTTGTAATATCAAAAGTTACTACCATTTAACATGGCAGTTGGAATTGATGTAAGTAGTGAGAAAATAGTTTTAAATTCATAGTAGTATCTAAATTCTTAGAAAATTTTTTACAAAAAAAAACGATATATCGAATTTAATACCGTTTTTACAAAAAAAACGATATATCGAATTTAATACCGTTTTTACAAAAAAACGATATATCGAATTTTTGGAAAATCAAAAGTTACCACTTTTTTACAAGGCAGTAGGAACTGATGCACGTACTCGTAGTGAGAAAACAGTTTAAAATTCGATTCGTGGTAGTATCTAAATTGTGAGTTTAGCGAATCTTTCTTGAGAATAGAGTAGATAGTTTTTATTTAAACAGTAACAATTATTTCTGCCTAACTATCTTATGATACTTTTTGGTTTCACAACTTTTCCGCAACATTTAAAAAAAATTGCGCTCATTTTTTTTTATCGGAAAAAAGGCATTTTACTCCTACTGCATAATACTAGGGTTAAATCGAATTTAAAAAATTTCTATTTCTGAGAGCAGTTTTCATGAATCTGCTCCCCCACACTATCCACACTCCCCACACACCCCAAACTTCACACACCCCCCATCGCTCTGCAAACACATTTAAAAGTAATAACATTTTGCCGAAAGACTAATTGGGTGAGGACAGGAAGCGACACAGGTAAGCGCAGAGCCGCGAAACCATATTTGTGAGTCATTGCGGGATGGAAGCTTTTTTTCTTCAAAATGACAACGATTAAATGCAATAAATAAATGTGATAGATTTAAACTGTTACAACAAAAAAAGTTTCAATTTTTGGGAAAATTTTTTTATTGTATTAATCAACGTTTCGTAACAACATGAATACAGACTATGTACATTAATATTTGAAATTATGCCTGCACTGCATAAACTGGTTTTGAGGCTCGGCCTAGGTTTGACGAGATGATATTCTATCAGTTTGATATTGCCACAAACTAAAATTCACACCTTGAATTATCAAAGGTTTGCGACACCGGGTTGCAAATATATAGGGATAAAGTGCAAATTGTGAGTGATATAGTGCATTTTGAAGTAAAGTAAATAGAAATTTAAAATAACTCGTAATTTCTGTAAAGCGACACAAAATGTCTGTGAGGATTGTGTATAGTCTAACGGAAAAAATGAAAAAGTCATCTGAAAAAAAACTTAAAAATAATACATCAAAACTTGAATAGAAAAGTCATCTTCACTGTATTATTATAATCGCTGACCATCTTATTTACATAAAAAACTGTAAAAATAACAAAAAATCCAGTGAACATTAGTAGTAATAGAGTGGCAGGAAAATTACGAGTTCAACTGCTGACGTCATAGGTCAAGTGACTGATTTGGACCAATAGGATGCCTGGGATTTATTTTGGACCAATAGGAATCGATTATTTTTGTTTAAGAATGCGACAAGCAAGGTTACTGCTTCTATTCCTATTTGTTTCTTCTACTGCATGCTTTGTTTTAAATTCTCTAAAACAGGTGAAACAACTATTTCATTATTATTCAAATAAGATTTCATTATGTATTTCAGATATTTAAGAAATCTTTTACTTTAGTTGATTTAGAGTCGATCAAAATTTAGTTAAAGAAACAATAAATTTTTTGAAAAAGTTTAGAACTGCTTATTTTTACCTTGGGAAATAGAACGATATTACTTTGGAAAGATTAAACAGAAGGTTGAAAACCAATAATTCAATTAATAATTCGACAAAGTATATTTTTGGTTTCAATAATTTAACAAAATAATTCTTTCTTAGAACCTATTGTTGTTGAAAATGATACTTAACAAAAACTACTTTTGTCAGTTTCAGTCACATGGTGTTGTTTTCGAGCTAGTTCTTAGGATCCATTTTATTTTTATGTGAATCCGAATCCCTTTTAGGCACGAAATTTTCAAAATAACGACATGGATACCAGATCCATCACAACGGATCCAGCTCGTGAAAATGTGTTGTTCGTTTCCTTTACCTAACACGAAGGAATTGAGTTTTTGCCACAAACATTCAATTATACCTATATCTTTGCAATCCATTGTCAGTTACAGCCTCAAGATGCAAAGATATAGGGATCAGAAAATTTGAGTTTGTGGCAAAGAATCAATTTTTTTCAACCATATTCTTCTTTTGCTATTCTTTTGGCAGAAACTTAAAAAATATGTGGCTTGAGATAAAAATATTTACTCATTTCGATTAAAATTTTGTCAATTGGATACGGATATCAGGTGTGGTAACAGTTCGCCCAATAACGTTTCACCCAATCACGTTTCACCCAAAACGTTTCACCCAATATCGTTTCACCCAAAATAATGTTTCACCCAAAATATCGCTTCACCCAATTCACATTTCACCCAAAATACATTTCACCCAACTCACGCTTCACCCAAACTACACAACTTAAGAGTTTCACCTCCCAAAAAAAAAATCTTGCAAAATTTATTTTGGCTTTTTAAAAATTATATCTTTTATTTTATTAAAATTATATAGATAAGGTTACAGTCATTCTAATTACTGCCCAATTTATGCATCCTCTTTAAAATGTGGTTTTGCAGATTTCGAACAAAAAAGTTGCAGATTTACAACAATTTGCATTAATATATTTGTATATATGAGTCGACCCACTCAGATTAGATTTTTTAACCAATCTAAAAACATTCCCACAATTCTCTTGTTTTTCCCAATCAAAATTTGAGGCAAATCGGTCCAGGGGTTATCGAGTTGTGATCGGAAATCATAACTCATCGACAATGGATGTTTAAGAAAATTAAAAAAAATTGGGTGAAACTCTTTAAAAAGTGTAGTTTGGGTGAAACATAATTTGGGTGAAACGTAGTATTGGGTGAAACGTGAATTGGGGGAAACGTTATTTTACCTAAAATTGGGTGAAACGTGATTGGGTGAAACGTTTTTGGGCTAACTGTTACCACACCGGATATCCGTAGGTATTTTTGCAAATCCGGGGGTATTTTTGCTATAAACACTGCTGTTCTGAAACTTTCCCTCCTGCTTCAGGTTCGAAGAAAGGAGATGCTGGAGAAGAAACGCCGACAAAAACCCGACATCGATAATCATAAGAAACCATATTTAACCGAACAGGTCTAAACTAAAATTTTTTCAGGGTTTACAGATTTAGATACACGTTTTAAAAAAGAACATAAAGGAATTGAATCTTTGTAACAAAATTACTTTTCTAATTCTAATTTCCAACTATGATTTATATTAACTAATAATTTTAATGTGTAAAGTTAGCTTTTTATGTCTAACATTGTACATTAAAATTTACATCTTACTTACAGAGCGCACCAGGAGCAGCAGAGCTGTGTAGAAGAGCCAGAAGCTGTTCCAGTCTTCAGGATCTGTGCCACAGTATTGTGAGTAAAAATGCTGAATTAGAATTCTCTTGTTTCTGCAACCTTAAACTAAGGATAGACACATTCAGACGTTTTTGAATTGTTCAATAATATTCAGCAAGAATCGTTCAGTCCAACTTTTCAGTTATTCAATTGTTCTTAAAGCCAAGAACTGATTTGACGTTGAGTTAACAGTATTATCCGTTCATTTAACAGTATTATCCGTTCAGTTAATAGTATTATCCGTTGAGTTAACAGTATTATCCGTTCAGGTAACGGAATTATCCGTTCAGTTAATAGTATTATCCGTTGAGTTAACAGTATTATCCGTTCAGGTAACGGAATTATCCGTTCAGTTAATATTATCCGTTCAGTTAATAGTATTATCCGTTGAGTTAACAGTATTATCCGTTCAGGTAACGGAATTATCCGTTCAGTTAATAGTATTATCCGTTCAGTTAACAGTATTATCCGATCTGGTAACGGTATTATCCGTTCACATAACAGTATTATCCATTCAGTTTTGTTTGTTTGTTTGAATGTCCAAGCATCATGGATCCCGGGACTGAAATGCCTTAAATTTTTGTTTTGGAACTCTATAGAACCACGGGAAACTGTAGAATAGGAAGACGACATAAAACCAAATGTATTACAAAGCAAATAGTATTACTAGTAAGTGAATAATTACTTATTTTATTAAATGATGTGCACCTCATGTTCATTGGACTATTAAAGCCATCACTTGAGTCTAAAAATCGTCTTCCTGTTCTTTGAGTTTTCTGGTTTTCACTGTAGGTTGAGCAGGTTAACGTTTGTACGGAAAACTCCAGGTAAAGCTGGGTTCCAAATCTAGAGATAAATAATATAAATAAAAGGATTACTCATATACTCAGGACCAAATCTTAAAAATTAAATCCAGAAATGTTTTATTTTAATTAAAGTAGGATAGGATGTTGAACATGTGCTGCATGAGTATCCGGTAAAGCGGAGAAGTGTAGGGCCTGCCACCTGGCGGCCTGTTACACAAACTTCAAACTTTAAACAATTTCATAATTTCTTTCAAACTAATTAGAGAAGTTCAAACCCTTGGCTTCATTTCTTACCCCAGCATAAAAGGTCTTAAGTGTAGGGATGGAGAATGTTTTTGTTCGAAAGATTATTAAAATTAACAAACAAACAAACAGTATGAAAAAGAAAATTGCCAAAAAGAGGGCGGCAGCTCTGGACAATGTACGGAGAATCAAAAGCAGGAATATGTGTCAAAATGCATTAGAATTCGAAGATCTAGAAGAGAGGAACAGAAAACACAGGCATCATCAGCTAAAAAGAAGATACAACAGCCAGAGAATGAATTTGCTGCTATTTTTAAAATTTTGTTAAAATTAAAATTCAGAAAAAATGTAAAAAAACAACAAAAAACAGACACATCAAAATTAACTATAAGTACATTTCTACCTTATTTATTGTGCCTACACTAAAACTTAATATTCTTTTGTAATTGTGAGCCTTTATAAAACGTTAAGTAAACTCCATCACTGAAAATTCATGGAGAATTATAAAAATTATCAAGAGAAAAAATTGTTTAATTTTTTTATCTAAAAAGAAACAGTTATCTAAAACGTTTTAACTTCCTGTTAAATACAGATTTTGAAAAATACTGACGTGCCCATCTCTACTGGGGTGGCATGAAGGGAAAGACTAGCTGTTAAAATTTTAAAGCTCAAGATTTAAGTAACAAAAATCAAAATATTCACATGTGACATATTTCTTATTTCAATGAAAATAAATCCTTAGATTATACAATGATAAACCGAAAGAAAAAGTTGTGATAAGAATAATTGTGACTTATAAACGGAAACATTCTAAAGGTACTAACGCAAGGAAAATTATTTCAGAGGTGTACGCATCTTTTGTACTGCAGTGTACTGTCTTTGGGCGGAAAAGTAAACACAAGACGGATGTCAAAGCCTGAAATATCCATTTTCACAAAAATAATCTATGAAATATTCTGGTCATAGGAAGCTATAATGTGAATTTTCAAAATTATCAGAATTAAATGCTTATCTCTTCCTCGGATACTAAACGAACACTGATGCATCTATTCTTGTTTACAAATTCCGCCCAGAGAGAACTTACGCAGAGTATACGGGACCGCAATTAACTTTCCTTGCATTAGTACCTTGCTAAAGCTTAAGTACAACATGCATATAGGATCATATTTTTGATTTTCATACTTTTCAACTTTTTAGGACCAATTTGAATCCAATCAAACCAGTTCTTCTTCTGTGTGTAAACAATGGAAAAACAAATGTAAGAAAGGTAAGTTAATCTAGTTAGTTAACGGTTTCCCCCTATTTTTAAAAAACATCAATTTGTTCTGTTTGATTTCTGAAATTTATTTCCCCCAATAATAAACGAATTTTAAAGTTTGAGGTCAAAAGTTAGCATAAAGTTTGAAATCTTGACAACCCAATTGTAACAGCGCATGTAATTCAAAATTTATGAGGCATTCTTAAAAAAATTGTAATTCCTATATGAAGACTTCAAGATAAGTTACCCCTCCCCCCCCCCTGGAAAATATCATGTAATTAACATGGGAATTTATTGGCTTCCCGGTCGCATCCCATTGTTATGGTAGAAATTTATTTTCTATTGCAAATGATTGTTTTGTAAATCTTTCTTATCTTAGTAAAATGTTTGTTAAGAAACAAATGAAATATTTTGATGACCCATTGGACCATGCATGGAAAGTTCCGGTTTTACAAGAACTTTTAAATACAAGAACGAATAATTTATATGTTGAAGGATTCGATGATTACGCAATAACTGAAATGATAAACATGTTATGTAATGAATTATGAGTAATAATCAATGTCGTCAATTTGTGCATAATTTTGCATATTTTTCTCTTTTCTTTTGGAAAGTTGTACTTAAAAAATTTATTTAAACAAATTTAAACTACATCACTTTTATATGTATTTATATCTTTGTGTGTGAATAAATCTTTATGATAATAAAAAAAATTTAAAACAGGATCTATTAAAAGCTCAACATACAGTGATATCCAAAAAACAAAAAAATAGGAATACGACATTACAGCAGTTATTATTTTATTTATACTTAATTTTGTTACAAAGCAAATAGTTCACTAATCACTAATTTAGTGAAATAGGTCCGTTTACACTGTACAATTACTGTGTCTCATGCTTATTGGACGTTTTTAAATTTTAATTTGAGTATAAAAGTTCTGTTTCAGAGTTTTCTGGTTATCACTGTATTTTAGATGAAAAGCTAAACGAACATTCGAATTTCTTGGAGAATAATGAAATTCATAATTTAATATTTAGGGATTTCGACCCGGCCCAACTGCAAGCTTTTCAATAAAAAATGTGCTGGAGAATTGACAGAGGAATTTGGATAAAATTTTAATAAAATCATCTTTACCCTATTTACCCTAGGGGGAGGGGGGTCAATTTGCCCCCCACCCCTATAGTTTTTTTGTAATAACTCAAAAGTATTTGCTGGGCTTTTATACCTACTGCCTGAGTCCTCAGGCATACCGCCTAAAGCCCTTATTTATCTTTACCAGACTAAATCTATATTTAGACATACTTTAAATCATTGGATTTCAACATTTTATAGCTCTTTGGAAAGCCTATAACAAAAGAAACCAGATTGCACAATTGTTGCAAAGAAATTTTGCAAAGATTTGTGCACATTTTCAGTTTTTCTTGAATTCATAATTAGGTTTTAAAAATTTTGAAAATGTTTTTGCAAATTTGAATTCGCTAGGTCAGGGTTTTTTTTGCACAATTTTTGCTTCATATAACTAGATTTCGCAATAAATATTTTAATGTTTGCAAATTTGCCATTTTTTGGCAGATTATTAAAGTAGAGCCCAAGGGCTTTCCAATATTATAAAACCAGACGTCAGGGTAAATAGGGTTAATATTCTGTAAACTTTGTTAAAATAATCTAAAAATATAAGAATAATTTTACATGCATATTTGTCTTGATTATGTTTTTTTTTTCTCGTCGGAACGACTGAACCAAACCATGATATCCCCAAGGAATGGTTCACAATCATCCAGACTGCTATGAAAGTTGCATTTTATAGATTAGGTCAACTTTGAAGTGTCGCAACGCCTTGGTTTGTAGCCATTGTTCATTTTCAAACTATAAAGCAAATGCTTTTAACTTTAGGTAAAATTCTCATAGATTTTTGCATGAGAGCTTGCAACCTTTGGACCACTGTTGCAACCCGGGTTGTAACTTTTGGACCACTGTGGGGTTGTTTACGGTTAAGTACTCCAGAATGGTTCTCTCTTTTTCAAAATCTGATAGATATATATTATTTGTTGAAAAAGAAACAGAAAAAGTTTATTTTAATTAAATTAAAAGAGATTAAAGCAACAAAATGTAGTTTATCTAGTAATGGCTATTTGAACTATTCTTTAGTATATTCGAATTTGAAGTAGAGATGTAATTCAACTTTTCTAATGTTGTAATAACCAGAAAACTCTTCAGACGATTCATCCTTATTTTCTATATTGTCTCAATGTTTACAGCTACACACATGCAAATAATTTACAAGAAATGTATCTATTGCAAAAGTGATGCATACGACTAATTTACAATTTCAAATACAATGCCCATCAAGGAGTATGAAATGAAGGGAGATATAATTGACGCGGCCCACCCTACCATATGATTATACAGACAGTACTTCAATTGAATACGAAATATTTGTTGCAATTACCGCGTATACAATAACCTATTCTGAATATTTCTAATACAAATGGAGTACCGTCTGCAAAGCCTGTACAATTATATGGTAGGGCGGGCCGCGTCAATTGTATCTCCCTTCTTTTTTATACTCCTTGATGCCTACACGGGCCTTCTTTTTTCCTCCTTGAATATTCTACCTTTTCCAGATCTAACAGCGCGGCCTGGAAAAGTATGCACTCTGTGTCCGAATTTAATGAATTAAATGAAGTGGAACTAATCATATTTGAGATTGAGTCACGGCTTAAATTTAAGTTTCGGCTCAAAGTAGAGTTTACAATACATACACTACAGTCTCTTTTATAAACGAATTTAATGAACATAATAAAAACCGTGAATGTAACAATAGTGATTATCTTTTACTCTTATATTTGCTGTTAATTAAAGTAAATTCTCTATTGAAGGGATAACCAGAAATATTAAGACGACTTTAAGAATCAAATTATATCTTTAAAAACTGCAATAAGCATGATGAGACATCGCAATTATAAAGTGTAAACGTGCAAAGATTCAAAAGACATTCTAATCATTCTATAATTAGCAACGCAGCTAGGGTTTCCAGCGAAAAGGAAAAATCCTTTCGCGACCATTTTGCTTCATTTCGCATTTCGTTCGCTCGCAAAAAAATAATGCGAAAATTTCGCGAAAAAAAGGAAATAATGCAAAAAAGAAAAATATCCCAAAAAATACAATATTTTAGAAACAAAAGAAAAATTTTAGCGAAAAAGGTTCGAAAATTCATCAAACAAGACTAAATTTTGAGAATACAAGAATCAGTTTCAAAGAGGAGTTTATCCGCGAGCCCAATCAATGGATTAACACAAAATATAAATATAGATTTAAGAACTACTAGGAGACATCAGAAATTTTGCGAAATTTTCGCATTTCGCGAAAATATTTTCGCATTTCGCATTATCGCAAAAGAAATTTTCGCAAAATTTCGCTTTCTGTTCACTTCATTTATTAAAAGATGCGAAAGTTCACGGAAAAGTTTGCGAAATGCGACAGAAAGCTTTGCGAAACGTTTCTTTAGCTGGAAACCCTAAACGCAACGCAAATCTCCAAAAATTCATTGGGCCCCAAAAACTTATTTTTGAATTTAAAGACGGCTTTTCATTCAAATCACATATTTAAAATACTCTTACACAAAACAAACCCTTTTCTCAAATTAAACTTATTTTCCAACTAGTCCACTGTCTTGAAATATCATCAATATTCCCATGTCTAATAAATCTCCCTGTACGTCCAATAATCCCCCGATACATTAGCTGAATCTTATAAAATCTAGTGTTGGTGAAATTTCAATAAATTGTCCAGCCAAGATTAAATTTTTGACCTCAATGGCTTACGACAAGAGAGAGACCAGCATAAATTGTTCTGAGCTGAAAACTTTAGAATGGGGAATATCGAGATCAATGCTTGATCTCATTTTTTTATTAATTTCAAAACTAATTTAATTTTTTGGTTTGTATCATGAAAAGTGTATAAAAGTCAAGCAGTAGAGTGGCGTATGTGAAATTCCGATCAGCCCATCAGAAGTTGGGAAATTTTAGATTTCACGCGTTATTCAATTAGAGAACACTCAATGGTCGGAATCTGGTAGGGTAGGGATATCTAAAAAGATCGGATAAAGCAAAAAATAAAAGTGTCTACATTGGATATTCAGATTAACATTAAGAATATCCAATTCCAAAGTTCCCAGCTCTGGAGAAAGAATGCTATTTTTGATGGTCGGAATCCAGACTGAGAGTTTTTAAGGGACTGTGAACCAAATTTGAAGTGAGCTACCCCTTCAAAAAACTCTGTCTGATCAAGTATGAATTGAAAATCTGTGTTTTTGTTTTTTAAGAACTGTTTATTTTCATTTTTTAGTTTTTAGCGGTTTCAGGGGGGGGGTGGCAGTTCATTACCCCCCTGAGTGAAATTAGGAGGGGATGTACCCCCCCTGGATTTTTACAAATCATCTCTCATTTAAAGTATAGTTTTTATTCATTCTTCTATATGAATAATAAAGTTTACTTGAAAGTGAGGTTTGCTATATGTACTTTTAAAAACATTAAGATTTAGAAATAATGTTTTTGCATAATTCTTTGGTTACAATTTAAAAAAATATTGTAACACCTTTCACCCCCTTTACATATAAAACTATACAAGAATCAGTCAAAACCCCATAAACTTCATGAAGTTGTTCCTTGTTTGTATCCCGTACATTGAAAAAATGTTTTAAGCTGGGAACTTTTGAATAGTGGATATCGGGATTAATGTGTGATCTCCTCTTTTTCTTAATCTCGAGATTAAATAATGCTTGTTCTCCAGATTAATTAACCAATCGGGATTAAGGATATCCCATTCTTAAGTTCCTAGCTCTGATTAGTGAAATTGCTAGGGCTGGGCAAGTTTTAGACTTTTTTCAATCAGTTCGTTAATGGTTAGTTAAAACCGTTAAAAAAACTTTTCTGGTTATAGCCTTTCGTTATTTAGCTATTTTCGTTATTTTTAAAAGTTACCCTTCACATATTAATTTTAGTAACGGGCGGTGTTAACAAAAGATATTTTAGAAATCTTTGGCGGTGCCAGCCGTTAACGATTATTTAAAAATTAACGATTTTTGCCATTCATCAACAAACTCTTCCATTATTTTTAAAAACTTGCCATTTGTTAAAGGATTTTTGCCCAGTCCTATGTGATATTTTGATGCAAAGTAGTAATTAACAGGGTATCCCACGAAACATGACAGATGGTAAATAGCGTTGAATGTCTTCTTCCAGATACTGTATTTGATATCAAAGTCTATTTGCAATTTATTTTGTTTTAAAATTTGTTTTACTCAAATATATTTTACTTTGAAATCAATTTTAATATAACATGACTGTCATATAATATTTTTATTGTTAGGTTGAGTATCAAACAAATTATAAAATTATGGAAGAAGACATTTTAAACTATTCACCTATCTGTCATGTTTCGTGGGACACCCTGTAGCTAGATTGAGAGATTGACAATGAATCAGCTCCTATCCAAACATTGTAAAAATATTGCATAGAAAAATTTTTGTTTGAAAACTTTGATTTACATGTGTTCATCTTCTTATCTTAGAATATTTGCCAAGGAATTAAACTGTCTTTTGATATTGTTGTCTTATAGATGAAAAAAGCTACTAGTTTATTTGTATTAGGTTTTCATAAGTAAAGTTTCCTTTACTAAATTTTTATTTCTTTTATCTATCTCGGCCACTTCCAGGAGGGATGTTGTATATAAGTGAGACGGATCACAAAAAGTCAGTTTGCTCTCAAATATATAACAAGCATCATGTTGAAAATAGTTGCAGCTTTGTTCTTCTTAATTGGTCAGTTTAGATTCATTTTCATGTAATTAGCCTAAAAGTTTAACAAGAGCTAAAAAAGAAAGTCAGTTCATGCATTGTTGAAAACATTAAACTATTTCATTACAGAAAGTGTTTGCAAAAAAAAGGGGGATAGATTGATACCTGATTATTTAATAAAGATGAATTGATTTTTATCATTAAAAGTCCAATATGAATAAATACACAGGAAATTGTATTTTTTATCTAAAGTTCGCATTTTCGTTGGTTTGTAATGAAATATAACTCTTATTATAACAAAACAGTTTAAAACTGTATGACCTTTGTCCAGATCTTGATTAAATATAGAGATGTTAAATAATTCCAAATTTTTTTCTTAATCAAAAAGACTATTTGTTAGGTCTAGCATTTTTTTTTACTTATTTACATTAGACACTCTGGATAGCTCTTTGACAATTCTTTTGTTTAAACTTTGCAATCAGATTGCTATTTTATTGGAAAAAATTTGAGCTAAACTATAATACTGTTATGGCATTGGTAGACATATCACTGTTAATGCTCTATAGCACGGTGGACTAAGCCAGTGGGGTCGGTCAAATAGGCCTAGGATTAGGCTTGGTACTGTAAAAAGTCTGAACGCGCAATAAGAGTTGTCATAGTTAAACCTCCGACGGGACTATTCCAAGAAAATTGACCCCTGTCGTATGTTAGTCTAGTTAGGGCAACGTACTGTACCATAGGATCAGGTCAGTACACGCTGTTATCTGGCAGGCCGGTACAAACTGGGCAGGTCCTGTTCGAACTCAAATTTACTACAGCCCAGAGGAGTGATAGTTCGTAACCATAAAGCAAACTTTATTTTAAAATGTATTAATTTAGGAACTCTGAATGGTCAGCTGCAGAGGGATACCTGGATTGATATTTGTGCTGATGGATTCAGCAAACCTTATGATTGTTGTCATAAAAGCCTTCGGGATCCTTCAGACCCTACTGGCAATACTATCCTAGTAGATGAAGGCATGGAGGGCCATGAATATCTAATTACTGTCACTTCACCTCAAAGTTATGCTCTGCAACGTCAGAAATGCCTTCTGTTAGACTCCATTGGTGATACTACCCACGGTTATCAACTGGTCACCTTTGAAACTAAGAAAGAGAATTATTGTGTTGCAAAATATCTAGCTGCAGAATATCCTAAAACCAATTTCTTCCTCGGGCTTAAGGCAGAGACAGATGAGATCAATGCCTTCTACTGGGATGATGAGATGTTTAAACAAGCTGGATATGACGCAGCTAAAGAGGACCCGGATATTCCAGCTTTCACTAACTGGTCCCCAACATCACCTGCTGGACTAGAATGTGTAAAGATGGAAGCAGGACCTGCAAGTGTTCTTAACGGGCTCTGGCAAACCACTGCTTGCGACACTCCACAGTTCTCAATTTGTGAACGGTATTTACTGTCAACAATTACAACTACATCTACTTCTACTTCTACTTCTACTGTAAAATGTTAAAGATACAATACAAAATGAAATATATCTGTTTTAAAAGATTATCCTACAAAATAATATATGTCTGTTTTAAATCATTTCTTAACTTAAAAATTGTAATTGATGATATGCCTTCAGTTAGTTCGTTTTTCAAATATTACACAAAAATAAACATGTTGCAACAATTTAATTATTGTAATGGCTTTATTTTCCTAATTTTCCAGTAATCAGTATATTTACGATTAAGTAAAACTCCAGGCGTAATATATTCAGTTTCCCTTGCTAGATGTGCTAGTTAGCAGGGGCGGATACAGGATTTAAGTGGGGGAGGACAGGGATTTAGGAACAATAAAAAGATTGTTCAGGAATTAGGAACAACAATATAGGATTAGGACAGGGATTTAAGTTGGGTCGGACACAGTATTAGGAACAGGAACAATAAAAGGAACATTAGCAATTTAAAGGGAGTTTTCGCGAAAAATGAAAGGGGGTATAGGCTTAATGCGATAAAAAAGCGCTTTTGATCGCATACTAATCTTACTTCTATCTGTAGCGTCTAGAAGGAGAAAATTGTTAAAGACGTCTCATACCGAAGAGCGTAGCGCCCATACAAATTCAGAAAATTGCAACATATGACTTAGACTGTAAAAAAATCAAATTAATTTCAAATAAATCATTCAGATATTACAACCTATAGTCATCGATTAGCTTTCGCCACATTTGTATATAGTTTATATTTTATAATATTTTTTAATTAATTTGTTTTGAATTTGATTATTTCTCTTGTCGCTTGCGCAACTATCTAAGAATGCCGCGCACCACTCACATTTTTCGAAATCCGTTAAAACGTTTTCTAAAAAAAATAAAATATTATAAAATATAAACTGTATACAAATGAGGCGAAAGAAAATTGATGACTATAGGTTGTAATATCTGAATGATTTATTTGAAATTAAATTGATTTCCTACACATTTCTAATTCTAAATTTATCGTTAACAATAACATTATTCAAATTGGGAAACATTTTTTGCCTAAAAATCTTAGGGGGGGGGGCGAATGTCCCCCTGCCCCCCTGTGTCCGCCCCTGCTGGTTAGAGCACAATATTATTTTTGTGAGACTTGGCATATGTTGCACGTAATGCATCAGAATACAATTATATTTAAATGATATAGTGTGTTCAATTAAAACGTATCACTATAAAAATCACATAAATTTAATTCATGCACCTAGCTGTGACGGTTATAAACAATTTTTTTTACAGAAATACCATCTGGCTAATATTTTTGACAAAAGTTGAATTTTGATTAGGGTTTAGTTCTCATCTGAGAAATAAATGAATTTAGTAAGTAAAAAATTGTTCCTGCCAATTTGGATTTAAAAAATATTTAATAATGTATGAAGATGCATATATCTTCTGAATATGTTTAGCTTTAATCCTTGATCCTCTGCTGGACTCATTTCCATAAATTTTTTTAATGTTTAAAACAGCATTTTTATTGATAAGACACACAATATCATGGAGTGAGCGTTTTTTTTATTGCATTTTTCTTTCTTGGTTTGCCCAAGTTAATCTCAAGAAGGAAGAGAACATTTGCAATTGTTTAGTTGAGTTGATGCAATCAGTAAGGAAATAAGGAGAACAAAGGTGATGAAAGGGTGGTGGAGAGGGAAGAACTTGAGTGGAAGTGTGGTGAGGTGTGTGAACAGGTTGTGAAGGAAAGCTTAAACCAATGAGGTTAATGTACAGTTTGTAATAAGAACAAACCAGAGATGAGATTTTAAAAGCTTAAACCCGACTAAAACCCAAACTCGGGCTTAGATAGAACCCAAGTCAGGATTGGTTCTAATTCGACCAATGAGAGACTGTTTTGCAAGTTTTCTCTGTAGCAGATATAATTAATAAAATTTGACACCACAAATAATTTTAAATGTACAAATATAAAAGATTTTAAGAAATTCACAATCATCAGCTGCTGAAGACTAATTCATATTCATATTTTTATTCAACTACAAAGCACGAGATAATACAAATAAAAAAATCACAATTTACTATGTAGTTTCGACCCGCCTAACCAGAGTAGGATGTTTTAATTGATTGGCCCACTATAAACAAATGAGAATTGCAGATAAAAACAATGTAAATTGTACATTTTAAACATAAGAATGATGATAAATCAGGAAAAAGGTAAGGAGGAGGTGAGGGAGTATAAGGGAAAGGGAGGATACTCAGCGTAAGGGTTGGAACAGAGGGTAACATAAGTTATTAGAATCATGTTTATGAACTACAGGGTGACTCGAGCCTTAAAAAGAGAAAAACCCAAGATGGTTGGTTCTTACTAAACTCAAGGCCATCCAAAACCTGGGCTTTGACTTGAGCTTTACTTGGGTCTAAGCAGATGCAAAGACCGAGTTTTAGTCGGGTTTAGGCTTTTAAAATCTCATCTCAGGTGTCTTAATACTTGGTTTTTTGACAACCCGTTGGGAGAAAAGTCTGAATTTATGGCCTTATAGCAAATGATCTCTTATCTCTTTTCTTAGTGTTTGCCTGAGGTACGTCAATTCTTAGTTCTTGTCTTTATCTAGCTGCAAATATCTACTGGGCAATATTTGCAAAAGTTTGCATAAGATTTATTTAAGTTGAAGGGATTCTTATTTATCAGTTTGTTCTAGATATTCAAAGAAGAACATGATTAAAATAACATTTTCTTTTTTGTTCATTATCGGTAGGTTTAAACCATTATTTTAATTTTACTTGTTGAAATGAAATATATAACAGATTATACACTGTTTAAAACGATTCTAGGTGTTTTTAATCTCTGACAGGCCATGATTCTATTCAGAGTGGTTCTAGATGATCAATAAGATAATGCAAGTTGATATTCCATTGCGCACACACCCAGAAAATGAACCTAGTTAGTGCAGTGCTTTGATTAGGGTTGGGGAACATTCTGCTATTTTTGAAAATTTAAAAACAAAAAGAGAGAGAGCTATTTAATTTCACTTCAAAAACAGACATAAATAAATAAGGATTAACAAATAAAAATTAACAGAAAGCTTTGGATGAGGATTATTTGGCCCCAAGGTGTCCCTCTCTCTCAAATTTCCCAGTGTTTCACGTCTAGCCTTTACACCCATTTGTTTTTTGTAAACACTCCCTTTAAAGCAAGGTTTATGTTGATTTAAATTAATAAATGATTATTGATTATTTGTTATTCAGGAACCATAAATGGTCAACAAAGGGAATCTTGGATTGATATTTGTGCTGAAGGTTTCAACAAACCTTATGATTGCTGCCATAAAAGTCCTCGGGACTCAGCAACCTTTGCTATCTCAGTAGATGAAGGTATGGAGGACCATGAGTACTTAATAACTACTGCATCATCTGACAGTTACGCATTTCAACGTCAAAAATGCCTTCTGCTGGACTCTTTGGATGACCCGAACTTTGGTTATCAACTGGTAACTTTTGAAACTCAGAAAGAGAACAATTGTGTTGCTAAATATTTGGCTTCAGAGTACCCAGCCTCCTCATTTTTCCTTGGACTGAGGGCAGAGACGGATGCGATCAATGCCTTCTACTGGGATGATGAGATGAAATATCAAGTTGGATATGATGCAGCTAAAGAGGACCCGGATATTCCTGCTTTCTCTAACTGGGCTCCAACATCACCTGCTGGATTAGAATGCGTTAAGATGGAAGCAGGACCTGCAAGTAAAACTAATGGACTCTGGCAAACTGTTACGTGTGAAACTAAACTATACTCTATTTGTGAAAGGTATCCACTTCCCTCTTCCAAGACTGGGCTTGAAGAAAATCAGAACTAAGACGATGATATTTTAAAAAATCACTGCTTTAAATTCGCAGTATTGGTTGGTTTTACACTAGATGCAGATCTTGTCTTCCTCCTTTCAATTGTTGTCAAAATACTACAGTCGTTTTCGTCGCATTTATCAGTAAACTTGCAATTTGAAAAACGCTTGGTAGGAATCAAAGCATTATAAATAAGAAGTCGTCTTCATTGTATTGTTATAAACACTGACCACTTTATCAAATCCAATTTTCCTTGAAAACTTTGGTCTGAATGTCAACCAGAGCTGGGAACTTTAGAATGGGAAATCCTTAATCGTAATCGGTTAGTTAATCTGGAGATTAATAACAAGAGCAAAACAAGAATTATTTAATCTGGATATTAAGAAAAAGAGGAGATCAAGCATTAATCCTGATATCCACAATTAAAAGTTCTCAGCTCTGGCGACATAAACCATGGATTAGACTATTTTTGGGCTAACATTATTCATAGTTTGAAATATCAAAGTTCTACAACATACGGTTAAAAAAAAATGTTGTGATTAGAAAACTGAGAATTCAGGTTCTATGTTGAATTTCCAATGGCCCCGTACTTACACCCTTAAGCCTTTGACTGATCAAAAATAAATAAGATATTTTACTTTTTCTCTTGGAAAATTGAATCTTTTCAATTGTGGGTATTAAATGATACAAAATTGTTAATTGGACAAACAGATTTGAAAATAAAAAAAGTGCATTTAATTAACAGTTTTTTTTTCAATTTTTGGAACATTGTGTTAAGAATTTTATAAGAACTTTTAATGAAATATCTACAAAAAAGGATTTGAGTCTTTGCCACAAACTCTGATTTTCCAATTCCTATAACTATATTTTAAACTTTGAATTCTGTTAGATCAAATAGTCTAAGTTTGAAATATCAAAGGGTTAGACCATAATGTTGCAAAGATATAGGGGTTAGAAAACTATAGTTTGTGCCAATAACTCAATTCCTTTCGAAGATTTTGTATTAATCCTCAGTTTTAAATAATTCTACAATATTCATAAAATCTTGAATATCTTCAAATTGAAAAAGTTTAAACCATTCTAATTTTCTTAACCAAAACTTTTTGACTTGAGGCTTATTTAAGTTGAGATAGGGATTAATACTTCCCTCAACATACAAATTATTTTTCCTCCAATAAAATATATATTTGATTTATTATTTGTATTACTAGAAAAAACCAACAAACAATGTTAATGTAAATTTTTCCTGAAAAATACGAGGAGGGATTCTGAAAAAAAGACCTGTTTGATTGATCCTCAAGGTTTACAGGGTTATATATTCATATTTGACTTTTTAAATTTTAAACTTGTTGAATATAACAGAATCTTTTTTTGAAGAAATTTCAAAATTGCCAAAGACACAATTTTTCAGGTAATTCAAACAATTTTTATTATTTCCGTTAATCCGTTTTTCCAAAATGGCTGATTCTTGAATCTTGATAAGCTTTTAACAAAATTTGCAAACTTTTTTGAGAAAAATTACTTTTCAAGTATTTCAGTTTGATGGTAGTTTTCTTAAACCGCCTATTTTTAAATATTTTGGTCAGGCTTCGGTCAAAATTGACAAAATAGATATGTTAGTTGGAAAGTGTCCATAAAGAAATAAAAGTATAAGGACATAATTTAAACATCTCGATTAATGGTATAATGATGATAATAAGAAAAATCTTTTTTCTTTTGTTCTAAATTTGTCTTCTTTGTCGCATTTTCTTGATTTTAGAATTTTAATCTGTAGAACACACAACTTGAAAATAAGAGATAATTGACAATTAATGTTTCATTTTCAGAATTTCAACCCATTGTGTTATCAAAACAGAGAGTTTTCTTTTTCAGCTTTTTGATAAAAAGAATTTTAGCATTATTTATACCGTTATCTCCCCCCAAGTTGTTGATTATATGCATAATAATAGCCTAATTGTTTTACGTCAATTTTCAACATATTATCATTAATTTATATAATATTCGTATAAATGATGTACAATATGTAATAATACGAGGTGTGTTCAATATATTTCACAAACATTCTTTTAGAGGTACTTCTAGATATCTCAGCCCTGTAATTTTTTTAAAGTTCACAATTTGGGCCAGGTTGGTGTCAAGCCGATTGTTCTCGATAATGTAAGGAGTGCATGTTCTTATTAAAAGTGGATTAGCTTCGTTTCCCAGCATAGGAGTATCTAGAATATTAACCAGAGAATATTAATTTGGGAGGCTTGGTTATCTAAAAAGTTTTTATTAGAAGATGCAAAAACCAAGCAGAACCTTAAAACGTGATCCAGAACGCAGTTTAAAACGATGTTATGAACTTTAATGGTGGTTTAATGGGGTTGAGAAGGAATATTTGAAGAATTATGACATCTGGGCGGGAAAAGACCATCAAGACTCCAATATGGTCGAAAATATTGAAAATTGTTCAAAAGGGTTCAAAGGTTCTAGAAGCATGTTTGTCAGACAGCTTTATGTATGCTTTTACATTGTAAACAACGCTCCTTACAACAAAGATATAATTGAAATCTCAACTGATCTGAAAAATAATCTGGTAAAGGTAAAGTAAAGTGAACTAAAACTACAGGGCGCGCTAAGAAAGTACCCCTAAACATTTTGCAAAACTTATTAAACACACTTCGTATTTCCAAATCTGAATTTTTTCCTTGGACTTGATCAAATCAAAAATGAGAATGTTTTTTTATGAAAGCTGCCAATAGAAGCGGGCTAAAAAAGGTAATTGAAAGGAATTGTATTTTGTCACAAACTTTGATTTTCTATTCCCAATGTCTTTCCAAGCTAACGTCGCAAACTTAGATTTTTCATACTTTGATTTTTTTAGATCAAATAATCTAAGTTTAAAATATCATAGGTTTAAACCCTCAGGTTGCAAAGCTATAGAAATTAGAAAATTTGTGTTGAGGGCAAAAACTCAGTTCTTTTTCCAATCATTTCCAACCAAGTTCATTTTGAATTTTCCCTTAAATCATATATCCTTTGTCCTACAATCATTTGTCCTAGACGTCATTTGTCCTAAAATCAGTTGTCCTATAATAATTTGTACTACACGTCCTTTGTCCTACAATCATTTGTCCTACAATCAGTTGTTCTACACTCATTTGTCCTACAATCAGTTGTCCTACAATCATTTGACCTACAATTATTTTTCCTACACATCATTTGTCCTACAGGGCGGAGAAAACTTCATTTGTCCTTTACATCATTTGTTCTACAGGGCGAAGAAAACTTCATTTGTCCTTCACATCATTTGTCCTACAGGGTGGAGAAAACTTCATTTGTACTTCACATCATTTGTCCTGCAGGGCAGAGAAAACTTCATTTGTCCTTCTCATCATTTGTCCTAAAGGGCGGAGAAAACTTCATTTGTCCTACACATCATTTGTCCTACAGAGAGGAAATACCATAATTTGTCCTACACTTAATTGTTCCTACACTTTAATTGTACTCCACACATCAATTGTCCATACAGAGAGAGATTAAGATCATTTGTCCTACAATTAGATTGCACTCTACATTATTTGTCCTACAGAGATGGGATACAATGATTTGTCCTACTATTGATATCATGATGTGTTCTATAGTAATGTTTAAAAAGTTGAATTTTATTTCTTTCAACATGTTAAATAATATGCTGCCATCTCACCTTATTTTGGTTTTAAGTCCATGATAAAGACAATTTGTGGGCCGAGCACCAGGGCTAGGGGCCGAGCGCTGCGACCTCTTAAATGTTGAATAATGCACTGTTAGAAAATTTGCAAAATGGCATTTCTAACAGTATGTGCTGTCTCTCACCTTATTTTGGTTTAGGTTAGATTAACACAATTTCAGAGCCAAGCGTGCCCGTTGGTCACATCCTTTTGACCATATGTCGTTTTACCCTTAGTATATATATTCACCCTTTCAATTAAAAGTCATTAAATTTTTAGACTGCCTTGATTTTAAAGTGTCGCAAGCTAACGCCATGGCCTTTGGTTTAACTTCACCAACTCGCTTATACTTTTTTGTAGCTCTTAACATATACATTTTAAAATTGCAGCGCGCTTGTTTCTAGCTTAAGTTTAAAAGAAGAAATTGGCAAAATACTGTTCTGTTTATTCTAACTTTTTCAAATCGTTTTGTTAACAGTTTATTCAAACTCTTTCAAGCCGTTTTGTTAACGTTTTATTCCAACTGTTTCATGCCGTTTTGTTAACGGTTTATTCCAACTGTTTCAAGCCGTTTTGTTAACGGTTTATTCCAACTGTTTCATGCCGTTTTGTTAACGGTTTATCCAACTGTTTCAAGCCGTTTTGTTAACGGTTTATTCCAACTGTTTCAAGCCGTTTTGTTAACGTTTTATTCCAACTGTTTCTCATGCCGTTTTGTTAACGTTTTATTCCAACTGTTTCATGCCGTTTTGTTAACGGTTTATTCCAACTGTTTCATGCCGTTTTGTTTACGGTTTATTCCAACTTTTTCAAGCCACGCGTTTCTTTAACAGTTTATTTCAACTGTTTTAAAAATAAAATCTCAGGAAACCGTTAGTGTTGAAGAACAATACTTCTCTTCATCAACAGACAAGTAAAGTATATATTCATCATAGAGAAGATTAAGTACATGAAAGGAAGTGGGTGAAAATGCTTTTCTACCACAAAAACTACCGTGCCAATTATAATTCATATTTTTCTCTGAAAGTTAAGGGCGTTATACTGTTAAAAATATTTTTATACATGCACAGTGACTGCTTTTGAAGCTAGTGTTTCTCATGAAATTTATCCTATTTCAAACTCCAATCACCCAGCGTAAATTTAAAACTGATGAGTGAGAGCGTTTTTCTGAAGTCTCTATTTATATTGGACACCTTTATGATATTCACTAATTACATTGACTACATTTATTCTGTAAAAAGACAAAAGGATTTATTTCAACCATTGTGCATATATTATATACTAGAAATTCAAGGCGCATCGCGCCCTTCTTTCTAGCCTTAGAGGGCGCTTCGCGCCCATCTTCTAAATTAATTGTGAACAAGAAAGTAGAATATATTCTATTCTCTTTGGCTTCATACCTCTAATTTGATATAGTGCAAGTACGTTACTGCATTAAAAAATCGATTTTTTGGTAATATGTATCTATATGTTACTTTGTTTAAGTTGATTGAGTAAGATTATCTGCGCGAAGCGGCAACATTTCTTTTACATTTTTCCTCTGAATGTTAATCATGAACAAGGAGAATGGAAGGAAATCAAGTTTCTAAACGGGGATGTATATGTCCCCAAAATTCTAGGGGGGGGGGGAGAGGTAATTACCACAATGATTGTGGGGGGGTTGGGGGAAATTACCCCAATAACCCCTCTTATAAACGTCACTGCAATGTACAAGTTTATTAAGATGTATTGTATATATGTAAAATGAATTTATGTATACAGGTTTACCCAGCAAATATGAGACTATATAGACTATAAAAAAAGAAATATAAAATTTGAAGGTATTAATGCTGAACGAATTTAGCAAAGTTATCTCTAAAGTTTGATCCTCTATAGGGTGGATCAATTTGTAAATTGTGGGTAACCCTGTACATGAATATGCAAACAGGCGGTCTATTCATCCTATTTATATAATTGTTAAATGTGTCTCCAGGGTATAGTTAAACAAAGATAATACTTTATCAAAATACTCTTTTATAGTCTTTAAAATATATAATGGAAGAACAA